ACATTACCAAAACAGGGCCCTACCGTTCAGGCTATCCTCAATGCCCAGAATGTTCACCATGGTGCTGACAGCGGCGCATCTCAGAACACTACCCATATGCCTCCAATGCTACCTGGAAGACATATTGATACAGTTGTGATGACCCATAGTCTCTCAAAATAACCCAAAATTCAAAACGTATATTAAAATCCGGTAAGGCCTTCAACTTAAATTCACTGTTTTATTAGGCACAGTTTAAAGTCACAAAAGTAAATAATGAGACAAACAGAAAACCAAAACAAACCACATTGATGAGAGTTCTGAAGCAAGCCAAGATAACTAATCATAAACTCCAGGAAAATAACCGAGAAAAGTCCATGGGAAGAGCGCCAGCAAAGATAAACCTCTTTCAAGATTGACTCCTGCAAATTCTAACTGCGCAGTTGCAAACTTATATACATAGCTCCCACCTGCAAGCCACGAGGAGGATCATGGTAATCTCCTCTTGAGTAGACCTTGCTTTTCTCTAATCCTCTTCTCCCTGCGTGACCTAGGATGGATAGGGGATGGGCCTGGATCCTCCTCTGACTGCTCAACTGACCTCTGCCCTTCCCCAGCCGCCTCCACCACCTCTGGAGCCACACTCCCACTCCCTGTTGGCTGTTCCTCCTCTTCCTCAGAGTCAGACTCCACCAGGGGCGTGACAAAAGTCCTCCTTCCCCCTAAGGGCAAGGGAGTACATAGAGACCACAGTACGAACATTACAGGAACACGGGTTTTCAGTGAACTTTGAGAAGAGTCATCTGGCTCTGACAAGCCGGCTGCAACACATGGGGGCAGTCATAGAGACCCACTCTTGCGGGGTTTATCTGTCTCAGAAGCGGTGGACCAGCATAAATGCAATGATAGGCCAGGTGATCACAGCACCAGTGGTGGCCCTGGACTTGTTCTCACAACTACTAGGGAAGGTGATATTGTGCATCTCAATAGTACCTTGGGTTCGACTGCATGCAAGAACCTTGCAATGGTTCCTATTACCTTACCAGGGAGAAGGCAAGAGCAATGTGAAAACCAAGTTGCGGGTCCCACCAAGAATGAAGCAATCCCTCCAGTGGTGGAGGTCACAGACAATGACCAGGGGATACGGGTTCAAGGAACCCAATTGACTGACCATTACAACAGATGCCAGCCTGTTTGGCTGGGAGTCCCACTGCCAGTTTCAAATCACACAGGGTCAGTGGACTGAGGCAAACCTCAGAAACAATATCAACTGGCTGGAGCTCAGAGTGATGCAACTGTCTAAGGACATTCAAGGCAAGTGCAGTAGGTCAACATGTCCTAATCCTGATGGACAATGTGGCATCCAAGGAGCATATCAACAGGTGGGGGGGACCCACTCCCAAACATGCAGGAGGCAGAGTGCTTAGGCCGCTGGGCAAAGAGACATCACCTGTCCATCAGAGCAGAACATATCTGGAATATGGAAAACGTACAGGTGGACTGGCTCAGCAGGGCAACAGTCGACCACTCAGAATGGCATCTACACCAGACCTGTTCAGAGAATTGTCACATAGGTTCAGGAGGCCATTCCTGGATCCGTTTGCGCCCCCAACATATACGCAACTGCCGAGATTCTATTCAAGATTCCCAACTCTGAGGGCAGAAAGAGCCAATCCTCTCCAAGGGGCATGGCCCAGGGGTCTACTTCCCCCACGCCCATTGATCCTGAGAGTAATCAAAAGAGTGACAGAGGAAGAGGCTGAGGTCTTACTCGTAGCACCCCACTGGCCCAGACGGCCATGGTACACAGATCTGGTTGATCTGTTGGTAGCCAGACCATGGAGAATCCCTCCAGACAAGATAGCCTTGAGCTAGGGGACAGTACAGCACCCAGAACCACAGTGGCTCCAACTGACCGTCTGACACTTGAAAGGGTCTCACTGAGCCAGTTGGAATGTTCAACCAAGGTCATATAGACACTCCAGGCCTCTAGGAGGCCTTCCACCAACAGAATTTATGTTGCTACCTGGAGAGCATCTGTGGTTGGTGCTCTACGACTCATCTCAAACCACAGATTCTAGATTTTCTCCAGGAGGGTCTGGATAAGGGCCTGTCCCCCCAATACTTTATGTAGGCAGATAGCGGCAATAGCATCAGTTTTGGGTTGTGGGACCTCAGAGTCCCTCACCCGGCATCTGCTGGTCTGTACATTCATCAGAGGAGCCACAATTTAAAACTACCAGTGATAACACAGGTATTCCACCTGGGATCTGACCAAGGTGCTGAGAGCGCTCATGATAGAGCCATTCGAGCCACTGCGATCGGCTAGCTTACATTTGCTCACCCTTAAGGTGATTTTCCTAGTAGCCATTACATCGGCCAGACAGATATCCGAACTGGCCTTATCCATAAGAGAGGGCATATGGAGGTGGGGATTCAGGACCAGACTACTACCCATCCTTAGGACAGTCAGCTTTGGTATGTCCCATGCTTTGGATTCTCCGACCAGTACAACTGAGAAAGAGCGTTGGTCTTACCTGAAACGCATCTTCTAGTTGTGCTGGAGGAGAATCCAAACCCACCCTGATGAACGTCGGATCCTGAGTTCAGGAACGTCCAGGAAGAGCACCAAGAAAATCTCCAAGTCAATCATTTAGCCTTCATCAAAAACTGGGCATGCTCAATAGGAGGAGGCAGGACTAAGCTTTGATTGACTCAGTCTTCAAGCAAGGAAGCAGAGACTACCCATGCATTGGATTCTCCTCCAGTACAACTAGAAGATGCAGTTCAGGTAAGGTCAATGGCTCTTTTCTTACATACTATTTTTATCTTACTCATTTTTGTAGCATATTTAAGGAATCTTTCCCTTTTTATCTCTTATGCAGTTCCTCTCACATCAGTTTTCTTCAGAAGATGGTTCAACCCTTGGGGTAGGCATAACCAGTTTTTAGGGGAGGCTTTCTCAGTTAATCTGCCTACACTATCAAAACGTTTTTGACCTGTTATGTTTTTAATAGTCTGATTTGCAGTGTAGACTGTTTGGATTTCAATCCAGTTTCATAGCCATACTCAGAATAATAACCACTGCTTCGTATGTAGGCAAAGTAATTTTCTCTTAGAAAGCGGGATGCGTGAGATGTTTTACAACTAAATCTGGTTTATGAGATTGGAAATAAAATGAATTCAATTTGCTGAATTAAAATTCTATTCTAAAGATAAGACGTTGCCTTTATTGAGTCTATTAAAATGTATGAGGTATAAAGGGTATCTTACTGTTTCTTTTTCATTTTTCAAATGCACATTTTTGTTTCTGTTCTTTAGAGGAAAAAATTAAAAATCCTTGGATAAAAACTTGCTACGTACTAATGTTCTCTTGTATAGTAGCCTTAGTTGTTAATTTTTCTGCATTTCTCTTTAGGGCAAGTACTCCTTTCTGATAAACTGAAAGTAAGAGGTCCTGAACATAGAATACAGCAGTCATGACAACTGAGTATTTATCTGTAAGCCAGTTATTACATGATGGTGCATTTTAAAAAGTTGTTGCTGCATCCTGTAGGAAACTTTCGCTTCCTATAGAATTTTGGTATTCAAACTATATTCTGCAGACTATAATAGTTCCTCAATGAAAATGTTAATAGGTGGTTTCCTCAATTTTGACAATTGCTAAAATTCCTCTGTATTGTAACACATATCTGAGGAAAGTCATAGAGAGAAAAGAATAGAGAATAGAGAAAAGTCTGTGGAGATTCTCAATCATATGGGTCATGGGTCAGAACTAAAAAAGCTTCTTGGATGAGAAGCAAAATGTTTCAAGGAAAAAAAAACCCAAGAAAGTTCAGTTGCCTTTTGAAAAACACCTTTGGGTAATACAGAGATTAAGTCCTTAGTGGTCTTGCTGAAGGAAGGACTCAAATTACTTCAAGATATAATAATTCTGCTCTTCTTTGATTTGGCGCTGTCTTACTCAGTGTACTGTGGATTTGTAGACTTTTCACTGTTGAGACAGTATTAATCTAGTACTGAGTCCGCCTGCAGTTTAGTGATTAGCCAAATATCTCCAGGAAGCTAGCAAGTAGAATCCATAGATGGAAAATGCTCATGTCTCCTTATTGCAGTTTGAGGAAAGAGTGGCTTCCCACTTGTGAATTACTGAGGTGATATGTCATTGTTGGAACTTTTTGTCCTAGAGCTCAAGCTCTCTGTATCTACACCGCATGGGCTTGAACTGTCTCTTTGGCAGGTTTGCAGATATATCAATTTGGTTAGAAATTCTTGAGAATATTCGTAGGTCGGGTTGTAGGTTTTGGCAGGGGTCTGTCAATATCAATTTGGCTCACAGCTTGGAAATCCTTCTGGACTCCCAGCTTTGGCTTGAACATCAGTTGGAGGCTGTGGCCAGGAGATCCTTTGAACAGTTACATCTTAGACACCAAAGGAGCTTTTTTTCCAAAAGACAACTGGACTTAGTTGTTGTTTTTTTCCTTTGAAAATGTTTTGCTTCTCATCCAAGAAGCTTCTTCAGTTAAGAACACAACAGTTATTTCCTCCTGCTGAGTGATTGGTGTGTGTGGTTGCAAAGAAACTCTTTTGCGGAGATAGCAGAAAAAATGGGAATGTGGCAAAAACAACTTGTATTCTTGGAAGAAAGGAACCCTAGGATTGTCCTGCACCTTTAGAGTGCCCCCATTCCCGTTATTATAGTTAAAATGTGAAACACCAGCTAGGAATCTGGGGGTGTGGAATTTGCATTTTTTTACCCAATCAATATTGCAATCCAAAGTTTTAAAAATGCATTTATAGGTGTTGACAATGTTATCGTGTTTGCTTCACCTTATGCTTTTTCTTTAGTCATTACATTTACATTTTTATTAGCCTTATCTTGTTACCTTTTCAGTCTTATCTTGCCAACCACAAACTCTTGACCCCACTGGAAAATGATTAGGGACGTTACTCTTCTGTGCCTGCTGTGACAGCATCTCAAATTGGGATATATTTCTGATATTCTCCTTCCTTGTTTTCAGATAACTGGCCCAGTGCATCAAGCCGGGGCGGCATGCCGTGGCAGGGCATGGTCCAGGATGAGTTTAAAAGATGTCAGCAGTGCAACTTGTCCAGAGAATGTAATCTATGCCCTTCATATTTATCCCCAGCTCTCAACAGAACATAGTTCCTGTTGCAGGGTAACAGCGACTAAGGATTCCACAGCCACCGAGGTCATTAAGGATGTTATCAGCTCCCTGAGTTTGGACCTCTCTAAGCATTATGTACTTGTGGAGGTGAAGGAGACAGGGGGAGAGGAATGGGTATTAGATGGGAATGACCCTCCTGTCCATAGGGTTCTGCTTTGGCCCCGCCGGGCCCAGGACGACCATCCGCGGGAAGATGGTTATTATTTTGTTTTACAAGAGAGGAATGCTGATGGGACTATCAAATATGTCCACATGCAGCAGACCTGTGAAGAAGAGAACCAGGAGGAAGCCCGGCGACTGGTTGAAAGGGGCTTCCTTCCTTGGCAACATTTCAATGATATGTGTAACCTTCCCAACTTGACGGAGACCACCCTATTGGAAAACCTCAAGCGTCGTTTCCTGAAACAGAAGATCTATACCTACGTGGGCAGCATCCTCATTGCCATCAACCCTTTCAAATTTCTGCCCATCTATAACCCCAAGTACGTCCAGATGTACGAGAACCACCAACTTGGGAAGTTGGAGCCCCACATCTTTGCCATCGCTGACGTAGCCTACCACGCTATGCTGAAGAAACACACGAATCAGTGCATTGTTATTTCTGGCGAGAGTGGATCAGGAAAAACCCAAAGCACAAACTTCCTGATCCACTGCCTCACTGCCCTGAGTCAAAAGGGTTATGCTAGCGGAGTGGAGAGAACTATTTTGGGAGCCGGACCAGTGCTGGAGGTAAAAAAAAAAAAAAAGAATATTTACATACATGTACCTCAATATGCGCATGCACGCACACACAAACACACATACAGATTTGTAAATACTTTCTTAACTGAGATAATTAAAGATGACTTCAGTGTGGTTTTAAAACTTCACAATGTTTTGAGGTTTTAGACTTCGATGTGGAAGGAACCTTTCAAATGAAACCTTTTCTTCCAATTCTGGCTGGGCTTTTTTTTTCCTGCACAAGACTTTCCTAAACCTTTCCAAAATAGCTTCCTCCACATATTTCTTTTTCCTTCCGAAATATTTTTTTATTTTTTTTTTGTAAATGGCTGTGTTGGCTTTCAAAGATCTTGCCTTATTTAGTCATATTTGGCTATGTGAGTTTTTACAACTGAAGATAAAGAAACAAGACTTGGTGCTGGACGCTAATTGCCTTTAAAGTCTGCATCCAGCCTCATTGCTAAGTACTAGTGAATCCAGAAAAAGACAGCTGAAATTCATACAACTTTCTTTTTTTCACAGAACATAACAGTATCACCTTATAAATCAAATGTAGGGCCTTTCAGATGGGCTGACTACAACTGCCAGAATTAGTCCTGTTGGTTGTACATGCTGAGGATGTTGGAAGCTTTAGTACAGTAACATCTGGAAGTCAATATGTCTCAGTTTTTTTTAATTGTAGGCTTCTGTTTTGAGTCTGCTTTTTTATGCTTCTTGATCTTTATTTTTCAGGCTAATAGAACAGATGAATCACTTCCACTGCATTTATACACTACAGGTAGTCCTCGAGTTATGAATGTAATGGAGCCTGCCCATTCCATTCGTAACCCGAGGTTTCATGGGAGTGAATCGTGTACCTTGAAAGAGATCACTCCCTCCTTTTGCTCACGCATTCGCTAATTGAATGCATAGCTCGTTAAGTGTACATGAGGTATTTCAGGGTGGGGAAGGCTGTAGGGGGCCTCATGATGGAACAGGCCACCTGCTTAAGACCACCCAAGGCCTCCCTGACCCGCTGAAATACCTCATGATCTCCACAATTGCTTCCCCCCCCCCAACCTGCCATGCCTGGTCACTTACCACGCGAAGATCTAGCAAGCTGTCTCTTCTCCAGCCTCTCAGCCGCATGCGCCCCTCCAATGCTCCGTTTAGGGTTTTGCAGGCCTCACCCAGCAGTTTGTCAGCCAAAATGGAGCTCTGTTTAGCTCTGCGCAGGCCAAAATGGAGGTTTGGAGGGATGGGCCTGCCCCTCCGAACCTCCATTTTGGCTGGCAAAATGCAGAGCAAATGTTGCAGTCTCTCTGCAGTTGTTTGTAAGGGTGAACAATTGCTGTGGTGCTGCAAGATTCATAGTTTTTGGAATTGTTCGTAAACACTAGGGGGTATTGGTCACGTAACGTTGAACATTGCTAAGGAAACGCTCATAACCCAGGGATTGCTTGTATTTTGGTAGTATCAATACAGGTAGTCCTCAGCTTAGAAACCATTTGTTTAGTTTGAAGGTACAACATCACTGAAAAATGGACTTATTGCCATTTTTCACATAACTGTTGCAGCACCCTTATGGTCACATGATCAAAATTAGGGATCTTAGCCACTGGTCCATATTTATGATGGTTGCAGTGTCTCAGGGTCATGTGATAATGCCTTTTGCAACCTTGTGACCTGACAAGCAAAGTCAGTGGAGAAGCCAGATTCACTTAACAACTGTGTTACTAATTTAACAACTGCAGCGATTGACTTAACAGGGGCAAATAGGGTTGTAAAATGGGCCAAAACTCATTTAACAACAATTTTGGGTTTTATTGTGGTCATAAATTAAGGACTACCTGTAGCAGCAGTTCTGTATTTTATTTATTTATTTGTATCCCACCATTATTTTTGCAAGGTGGTGAACATACCCTTTCTCATCTTATTTTCCCCACAGCAGCAACCCTGTAAGGTGAGTTGGGCTGAAAGAGATCATCATCTGGCTCAAAGTCACCCAGCCAACTTTCATAGCTAAGGCAGAACTCAGTCTCCTGCCTTCTAGCCTGGTGCCTTAACCACTAGATCAAACTAGCTCTGTTTAATCAGTTAATATTCTATAAAAGCTATAACATTATATTGAAAAACCAGTACAGAAAAAGATACAACAGATAACACAAAAACCAGGTAATTCAGATCACAATATAACGTAGTCCATTAGGTGAATACAGTTTAGATTCTTTATGCTAATGTTTTTTTATAAATGGCAACTGAAATAATGACATTCAGTTATAACATCACTTATAAACTACATTTTGAAAAACTCTAGGTATAAATAGTGGATTTGAATGAAATTGTTGTTCAAATTATGTAATAGCCGTGGTCTTGGTGTGTTCTTGGTAAGGCTGAATTCATATCAGAGACTATGGGATTTGCAGTTCTTCATCCGAGTACTATATCCCCTTTTTCTTGGATCTGTGCTTCTTACAAAATACAGCAAACTGTTAGAATATTTTTTTCTCTCTTTCAATTTATAAAATGCTTTTGGTGTTCTCAGAATGAGCAAGATGGTTTAGCATGCCTACATGCATTTGCCTATTCCAATAATTCCACAGAAAGCAGAAGTTGACTTTTCAAAGTGTTGCTGACTTTGAAGGCTTCACTTGTAATTCTCACCCCAAACAGGAAATCGTTCTGAAGAAGCCCCTTTTGGGTCTGCTAACTATAGAATACCGGATGCTGCTAATAATTGACAGCAGGGGGTTGGGGAGAGCAGGTGGAGGAGACATGTCTATGGTCATCATATATGCACATGTATTTATATTGGTTTAAGGACAAACCTATCAGATGTCCACACCTAGAATTGAGCTATGTTGTTTAAAAACAATTTGTCTCAAGTATTCCTAGTTGCTGTATTTTTCAGTATAAATTAGGAATATAAGAAGCTTCCTTGTGCCATACTATTTATTTGGTCCTTTTTTTCCCTATCTGGTGTTACTAAGATTTAAAGCTGGAGCTTGGCCTATCTAGAGTTGGATGACCCTTGTGCGAGAGACCAGAAATGTGAAGACGGCCTAGTCTACAGTAGGAGAGTTAGCCAAAGGGCTGGATTTCCATGCCCAGGGCCAATGGAAGGGTCTTAGGGTACTGATTTGCTTCCACTTTGATTTTGTGGGATTTGAGGAACGGAGGGGTATTGGATTTAGTATTTTAGGTAGTTAGTCCCTACTGAGAGGAATTGGCATGAAAACTTTCCAAATTGCTGATTCCACTTCGCTATTCTATTCCATTGCTGGTGGGTTTGGGGTGCCAGGTAGCACCCCAAAGAGTTTCCTTCTAATTCAGCTGCTTCTTTTGGGGGATCCTGCCCTGATTACTAGGGGCATGGCCTCAAATTGTTGCTGACCAGCATCAGGTCTCTATAAAGGTCCATTTATGATTTGATGATGAACAATCAGACAGGCTTGATGTAACTACTGAAACTGAAATTTTGCCTTATCAGAAACATGCTCAGACAGGTTTCAGATCCTGCACCAATATTAATTCTAGGGCTCAGGTGGTATTGATCTGTTGTGAATTCTTGTCTACATCCAAGATCGCTATAATGAAGTAGCAGGCATGAATGCCTATATATTAGTTTGCATTTTCAGTTTAAATAAAAGCACTTTGGGTGTATCGGCTACCCTGAAGTCTTTGGGATCCCTCCCTGGGCTCTTGGCTCCTAGCCTGGTGGTGAAGACCTTCAGCCAGCTTTTGGTAATGTGGAGTCTTCAATCTCCATGTGGAAGAAATTAGATCCAGTAAAGTCTAGGAGTGCATTGCTTCCATGCAACTGCAGACTTGTCCCAGGTAATCTTGGCTCCAACATATTAATTCTTGTTTTCACCTCGGAGCTGCTATTAGGTGTTCTGGGTCTTATCTTTATCATACATCACTTCCTGATGCTGGTATTGTTGTCTCTTTTCATCACAGGACTAGATACATTCAAATGTTCTGCCGTGTCACTGTTGGATTTAAATGGGTAATCATGGGTGCTTAGGGATTTCCCAGACCATATGGTGTGTGAATTGATCAAGGGCCTTGATTATTCCTGGTAACAGGCAGCATCCCTGACCCCTTAAGAATCATTGCTGAATAGCTTTTCTCTGCAGCTCATCCTTGGTGGTTTTTTGGTTTTCACAGAGCCTCCAGGAGATGAAGCTGCAGAAGCGATGATTTTGAAGTGAGGATATGTGCCAAATTCAGGCCTGCTCCATGACATGAAGCGAGTCAGACAGTTTTTACTTCTCCTTATTACCTCAGGAGATTGTTGTCTAGCTGCCCTTTTGGGGGACTAATTCCTTTCTGATTAAGAATCACCATCTGGCCACTATGATCAATTAGTAAAGCATTTTGTTCAATTTGAATCATTATGGCTGGCTCTCTGGAATGGCCTCCTGTAGGAGTTTTATTAGCTCCAATATTATCTCCTCTTCCCACCCCGCCCCCGCCAAATGAAGACACAGCTCTTCCAGAGAGCGTTTGGAACATGACACCTTCTTATTGTTAATAGTTTTTTTTCAGCATTTTCAGCATATTACTCTATTTTAATTGCTTGTTTTAAGCCACTGGGACGAAGGATGGATGCTGGTAGATAAAACTTGGTGAATTAAAGAAAGGTAGAGAAATTCATAATATCTATCCTATTCTACAAGTTCGCATTTTCCAGAATTTATGCAACTAGCTTTCTATGAGGGAGGGAAGTTTCAAGATCCAAAGGGGAGAATTTTCTTATTATCTTAAAAAATAATGAAACAACATTTATCATATTAATTTGATCATTAATATTAATCTATCCTGATTTTTTTTAAAAAAAAAACAGCTTTGGGTGACTTATTCTTTGTTTAAATACCGTGTGTATGAGGTCATCTCATATTTTTAATATTTTCACATCACAGGCAGGGTAATTGAGCAAGCAGAGAAAGAGTGTAGAAGTATAGTTTGTAAAAACTCCTGAGTTTAAAGGTATCCTTTTCCCTCAGGTGGATGAAGCTAAATATTTTCACCTCTTTTCCCCTTAATTTTGGAATTTAGGGTGGAAGAAAAACTAACTACAAGGTTTTTAAGATCATATTACCTTTAAAAACTTCTAACACCTTCCCCATCATAGGGTTTGCCTACTTTCTGGGAGCTATATACTGGCAACCCTCAAAATTGATAGAATTTGCACATTCTGTCTGTGTGCAACATGTGTAAGAACATAACTCACTGAATTGACATGTAGTTCTTTATACACTTTGAAATCCATATGCTTCCAAACAGAAATCCATAAGATTCTTCTTGGACAGAAGAACTAGAAAGACTTGTTTAGTAGAAAGTAAAGGCTGGGCTAATACAACATCTATACTTGTTTGATTGCAATCCCATTGAATAGAGACACTGTTCTGCATAAACATGGGTTGGAAAGGCTCTAACCGTGTGTACAAACTTTCAGAAACGATGGATTTTTATTGGACAAAACAATATTTTTCATAAGAATAAAAGCAAATGATTCATACAGTGTTGTAACAGTAAGAGTAATGTAAAACCTGAACATGCACTTTAATACCTACCTGCATTATAAAGATTAGGAATGCAAAATAATTTCCATCCGGATTTAGCAGATGTTTCCAATGAGAGATAAGCTTTCAGAACTTAGTCCAATTACCTTTCATAGCTTGGGCACTATAAGCAGCTCAAAAGAAAACAAATGAAAATTTTTTAATTATAACTTCAGAGGTTAGCATTTTTCTTCTTTTTCTCTTCCTTCCCAAACCCCGTTCATATGATGCCATACATTTTAAAATATCGAGCATGAGAACATATATTATTACTGATTGTTGTAAGTTAACCTGAACAAGACAATAAAATTTGCATAATTGTTGTCATAAGGCATGCTTTATGGGGGGAAGTAATATGCAGAACCTTGTATCACATGAAGGTCACACATTACTATTTGCTTTATTGGTGCAGGAGTTGGGCAAACCATCTTTCCCATGTGATTATAATTTATCTACTAAGAAAATTTTTATGGCTGTCCAGCTCACTCATGGTGACTAGGTGTCTTACAGAAGCAAGTGCTTCTTACTATAGTATTGCTTCTCTTTTGATCTTTGACAATAAATTATGTTTCTACTTGTCCCATTGTATGGGGGTTAATGACTAAAAAGTTAAAATTTAGTCAACTAGCAGTAGAACCTGTACTCCAGTAGCAGAGCACAGGCGTTACATAAATAATATCCTTGGTTCATTGTTGGCATTTCTAAGACTCGGAGAAAATTCAGACAGCTATAAGTAATAAGTCAATACAGGGCTAGATAAACCAATATAGCAATAGAAGCAGCAATAGCAGTTAGACTTATATATCGCTCCATAGTGCTTTACAGCATTTTCTGAGCAGTTTACAATATCAGCATATTGCCGATAACAATCTGGGTTCTCATTTTTCAAGAAGGATGGAAGGCTGAGTTGATATTGAGACATCCAGAATCAAACTCCTGTTCGTGGGCATAGTTAGCCTGCAATACTGCATTTTAACCACTGCACCACTACAGCTCCTAATATCCTAGTTAAGTATGAGGCAAAATACAATTACTATATGGAAACATAGCCCATGGTAAAGCTTGCATTTTATTCCTGCCCTTTTCAACTGTAGGGTTTTAAACTACATACTTAGTAGCGAGAGTTGAGCCTTAAAACATTGAAAAGTTGTCAGCCAGAAGTACTGTATCATAATAATTGGAAATAAAGTCATTTTGCTTCATTTCAGGCCTTTGGGAATGCAAAGACAGCCCACAATAACAACTCAAGTCGTTTTGGGAAATTCATCCAGGTCAACTACTTGGAGAATGGCATTGTCCGAGGGTAAGTGCTGTACACATGCTCTCACTATGCCATCAAGTTGTAATTCTGGTGGCGGACAATAGAATTCAGAAGAAAAACTAGTCCTTGCAACACTGCTATTCATAAGCAATTATCTGAGCAGCGTGCTGTGTTCTGTCTTGAAAGAGATTTTTTATAGATTCATAATGTCTGCTTTTGCGCTGTTGTTTCTTTTCTTGCCTCCCAGGGCTGTGGTTGAAAAATATCTCCTTGAAAAATCTCGCTTGGTGTCTCAGGAAAAAAATGAAAGGTAAGGGTTTATGGACTATGTAACAGAGACTTCATTTTTGCTTCATCCAGGCAGCATAATCAGTGACATTCATTTTGCACTTTACCCCCAAAAAAGTATCATGTCCCAAACAAAGCAGAAAGAGGTCAATTGTTTTTGTTTATAACTCTATTAACATTCAAATGACATGTCATCAGAATTCTGGAAAACCAGGTTTGACCTGGTTATTCATCCAGGTGAATTTGGTTGATCTGATTTGAAAAAAAATCATTTTTATTGGTCTTTCTTTGAAACACACTGATCTTTCAAAGCAAACATGTCAAATCATCCTGCATGACTCCATAGAGAAGCTATTGAGATTTATAAACATTTCAATAACTTTAACCAGAAAGAAAAGAATGGAGGTTAACCAAGTCTGGTTTCCAGCTCTCTACGTCACAACTAAATAAAACCAAACAGCCCTTAATTAACTAACACCATTTAGTATCTTCAGCAGTCTTATCTGAAAAATAATAAACAGTAACATGTTTTAAAGACAAACCATCCAAAATGGCTCCTTTGGAATCTGAAAACATCAGCCAGACTTGTTGGCAAAATATCTGGTACCAAATAATTAAAATACAGTCTTTTAGCCCAGAAGCTCATCACCAGTGGATTTGGAAAACACGTTACCGCTACCATCATAAAATGTTTGCTGTAGGCAAACTTACCTATTCACATAATATGCTAAGCATGCTGAGTTACACAATACCCACTCAGTGAGCACAAATTAGAAAGGTTGCTGCCTATATTTCTCCCAACTCCAAAGGATGCTGTAAGTGTGACTTACCTTTGCCTTTTCTGAACAGATGAGTACATTTTCAAAACAATACACTGGATTGCATTCATTTATACTTAGAATGCTAATGAGGCATATCAGTTTACAGCATGCCATAATTCTGCTTAGTTTTACTTTGATTAAAAATACTTTCACAAAGTGGTCTGTATACTTTTGTGTAAATAAATGTCAGCTGAGGAAGAAGGTATGGATTTATCAAGAAAGATGTCTGAAAGCATTGCCCTTGTTGGATATGTTACTAAAGAGCATATTAAATACTTCAACAATTGAAAGGAGTTTATAGATAAAAACATTACAGAGTAAAAATGAGTTAGAGTAAAAGGTAGCACTCCACTTGGAAGGAGACCCACGCTATTGATGCCATCAACTAAAAGGCCCTTACATTCCTTATCTCTGCCCAAACATGAACGTCATTCAGAAAACAAGATTCTCAAAAGTTTATATTAATATTGGATTAAATTGTTTCTTTTAAAAGATATATATAAAGATACCAGATGTTTCTGGTATTAATTTTATGTGATCTTAGTGATTTTAGTGAAGGTACCCAAGTAAGAATAATGGGTTTGGGAATCAGATCCAAATACTGTTAATGAAAGGCTGGTGTGTTTGTTTCTGTAGGAACTACCATGTATTTTATTATTTGCTGCTTGGTGCCAGCGAGGAAGAGCGCAAAGAATTCCACCTCAAGCAGCCTCAAGACTACTTCTACCTCAACCAGGTATACAAAGGATTTTTTGTCCTGATATTGGCTGACAAACGCAAGGCTTTGCTGTGTTTTCATTCTCAGGAAGTGAAGGGAACCCCGAACAGGTCTCCTTTGTTCCTCAGTGAAAAACGGCAAAGATCTTACTTAAACCAGAAGTTGTATGTCTTGTTACATGTAAAATGTTATAGATGTTGTCAGCCAGTTGAATATTCCTTAACTCTTTTAGGCCTTCTTTTTTAAAAAAACCATAGTTTTCTTTTAGTCACGTTAGGAAATTAATTTTTAATAAGCAGAAGAATATACTAAATCTTTCTGAATTTAATTTTATTTATTTACACAGAAAAGTAAACCAAGATTTTTGAGATTTCTAACTTTGTGAAATAAAATGTTGAACTACTAGATTAACCTATGGCTGATTTAAGGGTGGAGGGAGGGCCTTATGCTGTAATGAATGGTTTGTAATTGTGCTAGGTCTCTCTCTTACCACCTGACATACTTTTTTGCTATTGAAAAAGTTTTTAGAATGGGCAAAGGAATGGAATAGTTCTTAGTTCTCCAAGTAACTTTGGTAGGAAACTGATTATTCTATTCCATTTAAATTTGGTTTAGGGACTAAAACAATCATGATTCCACCAGGGGATTCAAACTGGGGAAACTCAGCAGAAGTTCAATCCTGTTCTGTTATATTTGACATTATACTCTGCTTTTTCATGACACAGGCTAAGTCTTCTGTTAATGGTATTTCTATTTGTTCCTCTTCTAGCAACTGAGAATCTATTCCTTTAATAGCCCCTTCCCCACTTCTAAATCTGTAGTCAAATAGAATTGCTTACAAAAAGAATTGCCATAGGACAATTGTGGTAAATTTTGTTGGTGGTAGATATTCCTACTTATACTTGCAAGTTTGGATTTGTTCACAGCATAACTTGAAAATTGAAGATGGAGAAGACCTCCAGCATGATTTTGAACGGTTAAAGCAAGCCATGGAAATGGTTGGTTTTCTTCCAGCAACAAAGAAACAGTAAGCTATGCTTCATCTGTCTCCTTTCAGTTTTCAGTCACACACAGAAGGATACACCATTTATTATAGGATGACATTTTCCATTAATGTGTGAACAAAACTATATGAAACTATTCAAAAGACAGAAAATTATGTTAAAGACTCACAGATATTAACTCATGCCTAAAGAAATGTACATTCTTATCACATTCTAATGGACAAATGTGTATGGCACTCAGTAAACATATTCTTCATCTGAAAGATAAACTATCCTGCTTTTCACTTCCACAGAATTTTTTCAGTGCTTTCTGCTATTCTCTACCTGGGAAATGTTACTTATAAGAAAAAGGCAGCAGGTCGAGATGAGGGGCTGGAAGTGGGACCCCCTGAAGTGCTAGACATTCTCTCACAGCTTCTGAAGGTACCTCATAGCTTTCTATATGAGTATTGTCTGGGGAGAGAAGACACCCCTGATCATTGGGTACAAAAAAGATCATTAACTTTGCCCCTCTTAAATAGCATTGAAAATACACATATAAGAATACAGTGGTACTTTGGTATTCAACTATTTTGAAACTCATTGAATTTCAATGCATCAATGCATTTTGATGTCAACATTTTGTCCTGGTACTCATCATTTGTTTAGTACTCAGTGCACAAGCTAGAATTGGTCAGTGTCAGCTGCCTTGTGAATGCCTCGGACTAAATTTGTTTGATACTCACTGTTTTTGATATTCATCGCATCTCCCAGAACCAATTAACAATGAGGACCAAGGTTATTCTGGTAATATTGGTATACTGAATAGGTAAAATACATGAAAGGATATTTCATGAAATTGTTGCTATTATCAGATCCTGATCCAAACAGATACATGAAATCTTGGTCTGTGAATGCATTTGAAGCAGGATTGAGTGCAATTTGAACATTGATATACAAAAAAAGATAGACTTTTAAGTAGTCATGGTCCAATCCAGTCCTATTTCAGGGTGGATGGCAGACCAAGCATGTGAATCGAGGCTATTAGGAAATGAATGGAAAACAATACAAGAAAAATCTATAAATATTTGCAAGCTAAATCTCCCTTAAAAAGGAAGATTTCATATTTATATTTTGTCATTTGCACTATCTTGCTTCAAAGCTTAAGATTAAAACCAATGGGGATGATTCTCCATTTTCTGCAACAATTTTATAGGGACTGGATAAGTAGATCCTACAGGAATTTTGATTTTCAGGATAATTACAGATCATTTTCATCCTGTATTTCCATGTCAGGTTAATTTCAGCTCTTTTTCACCCAGGTGAAACGTGAAACCTTAGTGGAAGTGTTGACAAAAAGAAAAACAGTGACAGTGAATGATAAACTGATCCTTCCATATAGCCTCAATGAGGTGAGTTCCTAATGGTAGATTGGGGTTAGTAAGATTTAAAGAAATAAAATTACAAATGGCTCTAATTGCAAGGGCAACTTTATTTTTTTCATATATAATATTTATGGGATATCTTGTAACAATTCTGAGAGTATATAGTCAAGAAGCAATAAAGTTATTAAAATTCAGTAACATCAAAAGAAAACAAATCTATATTGCAGCATCAAAATACAGATTTTCAATCACCAGAGGCTATTGCTTAAATAGCAGATTTTTTAAAAAGTAATTGGTTTCCCCACCAACTGTCAGCCCTCTACAGTCTTAATTTTTTTTCTGCTTATACCTAAAAGATGGTAGGGTTGTTGCAATTATGAGAGGCATAATTGGAATCAGGGAGGATAAAATGGAAAATATAGATTATATCAGTATGGTGATGATTCCTTTAGAGAATAGAGAATACCTTTATTGTCATTGCATTCCAAGAATACAATGAAATTTGAAAGCTACTCCAGCACAGTGCTCCAAACACCACATCACAATCACACTACAGAGTATTTAAATAATAATAATAATAATAATAATAATAGTAATAGTAATAATAGTAATACTATATACATAGGACTAAATCACAAATACTCATTTGAAACCAATGATTAAAAATGTAGTAATATTTAGTGGGTGTTTTTTTTTTTCAGTTTTTCATGTCCCTCAGTAATAGTAAGGGTTACTGAAGGATCCCTTTCTTTCAAGAAACTCTACCTGTCCAACTAGATCAGGGATGCCAAACTCAAGGTACGGAGGCTGGATCTTGCCCGTGTTGTGCTTAGATCTGGCCCATGGGGCTGCCCTGGAAATAGCGAAGGACCAGCTTGAGGTACCTCTGCCAGCGAGAATGTTTTTGTTGGCAGAGGGTTGCAGGAGGCCATCCCAGCCGAAAACTGAGCTTGCAAGGGCCGTGTGTGCTCCACGCTCAAGCTCCGTTTTCGCTGGCAGAGGGTTGCAGGAGGCCATCACAGCCAAAAACAGAGCTTGGGAACCCGTTTTCACTGGCAGAGCACTCAGGCCACCACAAGCGCCCCCGACACAAGTGACATGCTGGCCACGCCCACCCTGCTCCTCCCCACCCGCCGAGGTCAAACACAACCCTGATGTGGCCCTCAGTGAAATTACGTTTGACAACCCTGAACTCTAGGTCAAGCAGAATGGCCATGCTGCAGATCCCATCATCCAAAGAATGTTGGCTGGCAAGGATCAGAAGATTTTTTTTTTCCACATTGGCCTCTGCTCTATGGAGTAGCCTCCCTTTGAAGATCAGAATGGCCCCAACTATGCTAGAGTATGCTAAAGCCCTAAAAACCTGACTTATTCCCAAGCCTAGGATGATGAATGTGTCAAGGGCCCCATTTTCTTGCTATGGTTTTTACTGTTTTAAAATTTAAAAAAAAGTAAATTTTTAACTGTAATGTATTGTTTTGAATTGTAAGTCTCCCAGAGTCATTGACTGAGATGGATGGTCATAGAAATTGAACAAACCAACAAATAAATAAATGAGAAAAGTGATAATGGAGCTTTCTTGGTGCTTTTAATTTGCAGGCCATCACAGCTCGTGATTCTATGGCTAAGTCTTTGTACAGTGCCCTCTTTGACTGGATCGTTCTGCGAATTAACCATGCACTTCTCAACAAGAAGGATATGGAAGAGTCTGTTACGGTATGTTTTCAGGAAACAGATGATACTTGCTTATGAGTTGTGGAACTGCCTGTCACCAGGCTAATTTTTTAAATGGATAGAGGCGGGTCTGATTTTGGGAAGGGACCACTTACAGCATATTCAATTTTGAGTCCTTCAATATAGTCATGCCATTCTCCTGACTCTGTTCCCATCCCCTTCCCATGCATAGTGCTTGTCCATTGGGGTACTCGATATCTTTGGTTTTGAAGACTTCAAAACAAACAGTTTTGAACAGTTCTGCATAAACTATGCAAATGAGCAGTTGCAGTATTACTTCAATCAACATATTTTCAAGCTTGAACAGGTAAGCAATGGAAGAAACAGAAGGGTTTATGCTCTTTATTTTTCAGATTAAAATGGTTTTTAAAAAAACTTTACAGCAAGGTAATATGTATAAAACAGGTTGAATGACAGAAATATTGATTTAAGATTTGAGATCTTGCTGACATTTCAGTTTGCAAATCTCTATATCTTACTTTTTCTCCTCAAGTATGGTGTTCATAAATTACTTTCTAACATAAAACTTTTATAAAGTCTCTCTTTAAATATGCAAATCTAACCATGAAAAATAGATTAAATAGTACAGTTATGAAGCTATGCAGATCCAAGCTGAAAAGGATGTCCTGGAGGGGTCTGAGCATCATTTGCATGGCCTTGGGAAAGCAGAGATGGCACAACAAACATATTCCCATCTGTCAGATGTCCTCCCCTTCACCCCTAGTATTGTATGCAGCAATCTGGTCTTCCTATAAAGGAAGAGGGACTCAGTAATAGATTGGAATATGTTAGTGCAGGGGTGTCAAACTCAAGTCGTTATGGCAGCGTCAGGTGATGTATCAGATGTATCAGGGTGTGGCCAGTGTGTGATGCATCTGCCGGGAGTTTGACAACCCTGTGTTAGTGGAATATTTTAATAGCTGTTTCTCAAGATAATTAGGCTGAAAGACAATGTCTTATCTAAGATTCATACATAAGCAACAAACCTTTATTAAAAGCTCCCTCAGAGTGTCAGGGGATACAGGCAGTCATGAGTTCTGGGGGGGGAATATAGATAGCATTATTGCTTCCCTTGTATCTGTATACTGCTTAAACTCTTCTGTCTGTAATGTATAATGGGATGAAACTGCACTGTAGGGCAAAATGTTTTGAACCAAGGTACTTCAAGTGGGCTAACTTACAGGTTGTGTCCAAAATCAGAGGCCTGTGTCGAATTTTACAAAATGTTGTATGACTCAAATGTTATAAAGCATTTTATGGCACAGTACAAAACATTCTAAAATGTTTTTTATGCTAAGTTGCTAATGTTTGACTGTGCAGCATGGGCTGCTTTCAGGGCAGATGCATCTCTCAATAGCTCCATAAATTTTTAAGAACTTATCAAGTACATTCAAGTACATTAAGTACATTAGAAGCTCTGCCATTGTTGAAGGCACTGAGGAATCTGGCAATGAAATATATCTGAAACCATGTCCCGAGGATTCATGGGTGTTCTAATTGTTTCTCAAAATGGTCATTTACAAGAAAGCCATTGTTTGTAATTGTTGACATATACCTTTCTTTCTTAGAGAAGATCTTGATTGGGAAAGGGAGATGTTCTTGCTTTAAGATTATAAGAGCTGTCTGGTCCATTTAATTCACATTCTGCTTTTTCACAATGAGCAGGTAATTCGGAGAAACTCAGAACCAGAAAAAAGTGACAACCTTAGAGATTTTGTTGGTCCACAGTAGCCAGTAAGATACTTCTTTCTCTTCCAAGGAAGCCACTTATGGTTGTCACTTTATATGATACTCCCTAAACCATGTGGTACACAAAGAGATCATTTGTTTTTCTGTCCTCAACTGCCAGTCAGTTGACCTCAGGTTCTAATATTACAAGACATAAAGAGGTAATAGTATGAGAGATAAAGAAAAGCTATTAATACCTGACTTCCAGAATTTATTTGTTGCAGGAAGAATATCAGAGTGAAGGGATTGCATGGCACAACATCGACTATACAGACAATGTGGCCTGCATCCATTTAATTGGCAAGAAACCAACTGGTCTGTTGTACCTATTAGATGAAGAAAGCAAGTAAGTATAGCTAGCTATGGGATTAGGAGAAAATCTACATCTATATTGCCTAAATAAATGTGAAGTTGGGAGGGAGGGAAGACTGGAGAAAGTGCAGCCTCCGTCCACAAATTTGCAGCTTAATAAGCCTTACATATTTTAAAAAAGGGATATGAAAGTAACAGGAAGTAAAGTACATTTAGGCATGTATTCCCCCAAAACTAAATATTAAATCATTTGGAACAGAACAGTCCTGGGAAGAAGAGTCATAAAATATCAGGGGGAGAAATATAAATTACATATTTATTGAAGGAGGTCAGACTTATAAATGAGACTAGAGGATTTTCCAAAATGATGATTCTATGTTTAATGATGCTGGATTTTTTTTTGCACTATGTCTTCTAGTAAAGATGAACAAGTGGACAAGTAGATAGAGCCCAGGATTTGCTACTGAACATTTAAAATGTATGATTTGTGAAATTAGGCAGATAGGAATCTGATCACTGCTTGGGAAGGCACAAAGTCCCCTTCCCATTAATAGTAGAGGATGAAATTATGCAACCAGGAGCAATTAAAGAAAGAAGGGATAGCCTTTATTCTATAATTATATTTACCAAATAAAAATGCAAAGCTACCATGACATGACAGTTAAAGAAATGTGCACGAATTCAGTAGAATTTAGAATCTTACTTCCAACAGGTTGCGAATTGCCAGGGCATAGAATTTCTAAATTTTTAGTCTGGGAAAAAAACAGAAACTAGGAAAAAGTTTAATTATTATTTTTAACTAAGCCCTCTCAGTTTACAAAAATACTTAGGAAAAATGACCAATACTTGTAAAGGTATAACAACAATGATGTAATAAAAACTGCTTATTAAAGTATATCAGTAGATGTGAATGGAATACAGCCAACCTTCTTATCTGCAGAATTCCTTTTTACATTTGGGAACTGCTAGTATTAACCCCTCCCCAGTTTGCCAAGTTTAAGCTCTACTGATAATTTCTTCTGCCTGTGGCTTCCTCTTTTGCTGCCTGCAGTTTTCCACATGCCACTAGCGAGACGCTTCTTGCAAAGTTCAAACAGCAGCACGAAGACAGCAAGTTCTTCATTGGAACTCCTGTATTGGAACCTGCTTTCATCATTCAACACTTTGCTGGCAAAGTGAAATATCAGATAAAGGTATGGAATGTTATTCCAGATGCAGAATGTTAAGGAATTGCTTGTGGCTTAATCAGCAAAAATAAGTCTGGTTGAAAATGTCATAAGAAAAGATCCTTGCTAGTTGGAACAGGCCAAAGCCCATCCTTTTAAAAAGCAAAAACAAAATCTGATCTTGTCAGTTTGGAATGGAAGTTTTACAAGAGTTTCAGTAAAAATGATCATTTTTTTCTTCATCGTTCATACATAATTTACATCTGTAAGCAATCCAGTCATGAGTCACAGGAACACCAGGTCTTCAATGAGTGATTGAGGCTATAGGTTTTTCTTTCCAATGTTGAACAACAAGTCACTTTAATAAGGACGCAGAGAATCCATTGCCATTGCCCAGCCATCAATGTTCATGAAATAGAAATGTAATTCAAATGAACGTGGACATCCTAAAGTATATATTATGGTACTGATTTCCAGCAGTGAACCTACTACCAAGCATATCTTGAAGAGTTCAACCTTTAGCAGGGTGAAGGGAAGGAAGACATGCAGAGTTGTGGTTAAATCCATCTATCCCTTGAGCATAACCTTTGCTATGTGCCTTGGCTTCCATGACCATTCTTCCTTGTAGGATTTCCGTGAAAAGAACATGGATTATATGCGGCCAGATATTGTTGCCTTGCTGCGCAGCAGTGACAGCACTTATGTTCGTGAGCTGATTGGAATGGATCCAGTGGCTGTTTTCCGGTGGGCTATTCTCCGTGCAGCAATCCACGCCATGGCTGTTTTTGCAGAAGCGGGTCGCCAAAGAGCTGAGAAAACAGCAGGTAAGCCTGAGCACAGAAGAAGTAGTCAAAATATCAACATCTGCAGTCTTTAAGAGTATAGAAGACTTTTGGTCTTCAGGTAGTGCAATCCAGTTTCTCAGCAATTCCAGTTAAAACAAACTTAGATGGCAGATGATGACAGACCCATGCTACTTAATTATCTGAAAAGATTGAAGCAATGTTAGGATGAATATAAATCAGTTGAACTTGGAAAAAGGTGGATTTATGACTTTCACACAATCTGCTCATAGAATTGTTTTAAACATGATATTTATGTAGTAGTTTTTACTTATCTACTTCATGTAATCCTACTGCTGTTGTCTATTATATTTTAAATTTGTATTTCTGATTATTGAAAGCCAACTGAGGGTCTCTTTTGATTTTCAAAAGCAAATAAATGCATTTAAATTAATTATAAATGTCCTCCTGCATGCCTCCTGTCACTGCTTAAGAGTCTTTCTGAACAAATAATAATCCAAAGAGGAACCAACAGACCAGTTTCTTCATTGTCGTTTCTGCAATTCACACAAATGGATATTGTGCAGGTTCATTTGGAAACTTTCAGAGCTTAAGCCATGCCTCCTGTTTTCATTGCATCTATGGATGCGGCTCCTGCTGATCCTTCAGTCATTTTAAGCCATTGTGATAATAATTTGTTGAAATGTGTTTTTTTCCTAGATTTTTCTGATTTCCCTAGAAATTTTCTGAACTTTGCTCAAAAATATTTTCATTGATCATTTTCTTTCCTGTCTCTTGGTTTGGTTTGGCTTCTCTTTTGTGCGGAACCCCCTCTTGGGGTTCTTTTCATTTATTTAACATAAAGATGAGCAATTTATTTGTTTGTTTCTTATCCTCCCTTTATTATTTGTTATAAATAACTCGAGATACCGAATATCCCTCATACTCCCTCCTTCTCCTCTTTTTATCCTATAGTTGAAATGGCCTTGAAGGGCCTGTTACACAAATTCCAAAAGAGTGTGAAATATCTCCTCCATCAGATGAGCATATCTTTTGTTGTTGTGCTTTAGAGAAGTCTAGGTGGGTGAAGTCCTGCCCTCATCGCAAAGCTTTTATTAAGCAAGGAGAAAAGAACAATTTTTTTATACCTGTGAATGTTCCTTTAGAGCAGCGATCCCCAACCTTATTGGCTCTGTGGACCTCTAGGGGCAGCAGGGAGGAGAGGGGATAACTTTGTGCATGCACTGCTTGTGCAAATGCAGCTTCTCCACTTGCCCGCTGCTTGTGTGGCCTGGTTCCCAACAGGCTTCAGCCCAGCACGAGGCCACAGACCAGGGATTGGGGACTCCTGGCTTAGAATAAACTTTGAAGGGCAAGGTGATACTTTGCAAGTTAACTTGCAGACCTCAGTTGCTGCTTTGGATAATAGACTTATCAGAATAACAAAGTTGGAAGGGACCTTGGAGGTCTTCTAGTCCAACCCCCTCTATAAACCAGATACCATTTCAGACAAATATGTCAAGGTGTGACTTGGGAAACTGGTGTTCTGCTTCGGTGTGTAATTTAGGGGATTCGGAAGGTCAAGATATGGACACGCAAATATTTGTGGATATTTCCGTCTGCAGCCAATGATCTCTTTGAGGGCTATTGCCATATATCTCCCCTCCTGAACTCCTTGAATTCTTGAGCTTGCAAGTTTCAAGAAGAGATTGCTAAAGGTTCAGTTTCTGAGGTTGAAATCTTGGACCTAGACCCTTCATCAAGGCAAGCAATGTCATTCCTTATCCAGGCAGCATCGTGAGCATATTAAAACTCCAGTGTACCTCATTCCTACCATCTCAAGCCTCCCACATATCTTCTTTTGTTCTCTTACTTCACATTGGGAGAACAGAAGGTTAGGTTCTCAACGGCAGCCAACACAAAGCACATTTCTTTTCCCTAAAGACCATAACTCTGTATGATAAATAACTCCTGGAATCAACACACTGTTTTGTAAGATAAAGAATGGTGCTTGTTTCTCTTTATCCTCTCCATTCTTAGCAGTTCAATATTGTGAGGATTTGAACACTTGTAATGTCCTAGGTTTTTTGTTACATTTAAATGCCCACATTTGGACTTTTTCTTGGCTCCATATCTACCTTCCTGCTTATTTAGCCCAATCATTGTCCAATTGGAGGTATCTCAGTTTTTCACATTCTTTACTTAAAAGTTTTACAGGTTCACTGAATCTTTTTCAGTCTCTTCTATCTCTGTTATTAATCCAGAGGTTATTGTTAGTCCTAAAACAGCTAGATAAATATTCAGTGCCTGTCCAGACTGACTGGTTACTTTCATGGAAGACAACCTCACTGGTCCACTGTGAGGTCTTAAAGAATTTCCCTACTTTTCTTTCCAACAGGGCAACTTGTATTTTCCTTTCTTTCCAAGCGCATATTGGTGGCAATATTCTATTACACTGGTGACTCCATCCTAAAATGATCTTCATCTCTTTCTATATTTGACAGTTCGTGCAAAAATAAATTACCTTCCACAATATTCCAAACGAACCACTGCAACAGCAAGGCCTTATTATAAACTACAAAGTAGCCATTGCCTATTAGATGATTATGTGTTGGGGCAATTAGTCATTTAACTTCTCTTCTGAAGCATGTGCCTTGAAGCACTTAGGATGGGCTGCACTGTAGACTTTTAGTTTTGCTAAGTATTTCAAGATGGACTTTTGGGCAGAGTGATATGCTGCCTTTGCCAAAGCAATCCTGTCATCCATTGCATCATGATTATGCATCTGACACCACCCTCTCCCTGAGCCCAACCTATTCCACTGGGTGATTGCTTTGGGAAAAATGGGAGGAGGAAGAACTAGGGAAACTAGAGAAAGAACGGTGTCAAGCTCCTTTTTTAAAAAAATGCCATTTAATATACAAACCAACTATATAAACAGCTTACTACTAATTCACATTTTGAGACCGTTATATAAAAAAGCTGCTTATTTACCTGTAACCTGTTCAAATGATCACCTGGGTATCCCCATTATTCTGTTTGCACTTCATTATTTTGCTGTTTTTGGTTTCAGATTTTGCTGAATCAGCCTCAAGAACTGAGGAATGACTGGGAATCATTTTAAGTTATTTAATATGCAGTAATACTGGTGCCAGTCTTTTAAGCTCTAAAATATTCTGAATTAGCTTTGACGCATGCAGGACTTAGGTCATGATGGCCACTCAAAGAATCCCATTTATAAAAAGTAACATTATTGTTGAAAGCTGGCAAAAGCTATGGCGGTTATGCCAAAATAGATGTTTTTCCCCTTTGCTCTAGGGGTAATACGCCATGGACCCAGGATCCCACTGGGGGAACTGCAACAGAGCAACACCCCAAATGAGAGAGTTTATCGGTAAGAAGCACATTTAATTGGTTTTTTTAAAAATTATTGTTACATTTCTACCCTTTGTCTTGGTTTCTTTTGACAAAGGACGATTCCTTTTACTGCACAGGTTTCTGATCTTGTTTTTTGTTTTTCCAAAATAGCCCCTAGATGTTTGGGTTTTTTTTTTTAATTAACTTGTACAGAACTATGGATAAATTTGCAATCCCTCTGGAAAAAAAATGAAGAGAGATGGTAAACGATAAAGATTGTCTGCTTCTCACAAAGGATTGAAGAGCTCTTATGAGGAATTCAGTATGATGAGGAAATTAGTGCATTGTAAAAGTAACTTAGCATCTTTGCTACTAGTTCTTCATCAAATTTTGGTTTCTTTCCCATTTTGAGAGCTGCTTATTTCGGTAATCCTACCTAAATTCTACACAGTTGGCCTCTGTAGTTTAAAGAGAGAAATTAATTCCACTATATTGTACAGTAAAGACTTTGAATTCACATGTGTTTTTTTTCTCTTAATGTACGATAGCAGTAAAAAGACAAATGTCATACTAGGTTCCTCAAGAAGTTTATTTTCAATCAGTATTGTAACTTCTCTTTGTAATTATGCGATGTATCCATCCAGAGCCCTACTTTTGTATTTGAAGAAGAATATAAGAATGAAAATTGAGAAGAAAAGAGTTATTCAAATGATTGGAAGTTCAAAAATATGGTGGGGGGGGGGGGAAGACTAGCATGTTGGGAATTATAACTCCCCAAAAAAAGACAAGTGAAGAGAAACATGATCGTGGTATATAAAATCATACATGACAAGGAAGAAAGTAAGCAAGGAAAAACTTTTCTTCCTCTTAGAATAGGGCTGTAGGATATTAAAGCTGATTGGAAGGAGATTTAGAACAGTTAAAATTAAGCCCTTCTTGACATCATAAGATATAGAGGCAGTAGTAACTTGAATGTCTTAAAAAGGTGGACAAATTCACAGAGGACCAGTCCATCATGTCCGATTGCCTTGCATTCTCATGATACCTCCAGGCTGGGGCTGCCAAATACTAGTTGCAAACAAAGTCACTAGAGAGACAAAACATTGCCTGTTGCTTGATAGAGCCCAGATATTTTTACATTTTTAAGTTTTTTTCCCCACCAATGCTTGAATTTCAGGTGGGAGTAGGGCCTGACTGAAATTCACAGTCCCCATCCCTGCGCATATCACCACTCCAATTAATGTGCTAAAACTTGGTAATTAACTTGGCTAAAGATAATGGATTCCAACCTCTCTGGATATCCTAGCAGTACGAGTATCACAATTTCAGCTACTTGGAGAGGCACTAAGTATTGGCACTGTATTTTTTTAAAGAGCTCACTTTGGGAACGACAGGCTTCCATTTTAATTCTGTTTAGAGTTGAAAGCCTGTACAAACAGATACCCACAGCCTTTTCTGATTGAAGTGTTGTATAATGGCAACATTTAGCATAAGTTGTTAGCGGACCAGAATTTTCATGCAGCTTAGTATTATAGCAGTTAAAAATAATGAATGAGATGAATTTTAAAGTGATCATCAAATGTGTATGTGTGAGTGAGAGAGATTTGAATAAACTCTTTAGGTTGTAGACAACGTTAGATGTGATATGCCGTGTTTTCCCGAAAATAAGCCCTAGCATGATTTTTCCAGGATGCTTGTAATATAATCCCTACCCCAAAAATAAGCCCCAGTTAAGATAGTCAGCCAGATGGGTGCATTTAGTACCATAGTTCCTGAAAATAAGACCTAAGTAGAAAAATAAGCCCTAATGAGTCTTTTGGAGCAAAAATTAATATAAGAACCAGTCTTATTTTCAGGGAAAAATGGTACCTATCAGCAATTTTAAGGGATATCCTTTTACCCTATTAAAGATACACATATATAAATTCATCAGTTAGAGTTTGCAGTTGTGGGATATCAAATGCTAGAAACACAAGAGAACGTTAATTGAGTCTTCTTGATACTTTCATTTCCTTTTGGTATGCCGTGGCTTTCCTGATGATGTTCATCAGTTCCCTGGCATACCAAAGCACGGTTGCTTGTTGTTGTTGTTGTTTTCCTTGGGAAAAACAAGAAGATAATTTTATCAGAAGATAAAACTTGGGTGGGTGAGGGCATGTCTGACCAACTTAGCCTGAAGCTTTGCCTTTCTGCCTGCTTTATTATTTGGTTGATCGAGCGTCGTTGCATGTTCCCCTTTTTGCAGCTGTTCAGTACTTGATTTCTCATTTGATTGCTCTGAGGATTTTGATATAAACGTTTTTGAAGACATCATTGCTTCATATGAAAGCAAGAAGTAAGTGGGTAAAGGTGGAGGAGGAACTTGCCACTGTGGCAAGGGAAGCACGATCCTGGGCAGAGAATGACCTGGTTCAGAAAACCAGGGATGATAAAAAAAAAAAGTCACTGTCTTCTTCTCCAACTTCATTCCAGAAGTCACTGAAACTCACAGTTGGGGTGCTCTTAGGCAACTCAAAATATAGATATATTATACAGATATAATGGAGCGTACAGGTAGTTCCTCGACTTATGACCACAATTGAGCCCCAAATTTCTGTTGCTAAATGAGGCATTTGTTAAATGAGTTTTGCCCCATGTTACGACCTTTCTAGCCACAGTTAAATAAATCACTGCAGTTGCTAAGTGAGGAACGCGGTTGTTGAGTGAATCTGGCTTCCTCATTGACTTTGCTTGTCAGAAGGTTGCAAATGGTGATCACATGACCCCAGGACAGGGCAACCATCATAAATATGAATCATGCCAAGCGTCTAAATTTTGATCACATGACCATGAGGATGCTGCAGTGGTCATAAGTGTGAAAAATTGTCATAAGTCCCTTTTTCCAATGCCTTCGTAACTTTACACAGTCACTAAATGGACTGTTGTAAGTCGAGGGCTACCTGTATTTCTTTTTTTAACGCTGGAATGGAATGCTGCAATTTCACCTTAAATTTAAAATGTGTAGAGGAGGAACGGGGCCACTTTCAAGAAGTGGAAAGAAGTGTGTTTCAGAAGAATGAAGACTCTTCCTCTGCCCAGGAATGACCTTTTTTACACTTCTGTCACCTTTTTTTCTCTTTCTTTTCTCCTTGGCTTCCTTTCTTGGTTTTTCTTTGTTATTAATTTCTGCCTCTCTGGAGAGTGGCAAAGGTAAGTTTTGTGTTGAATAAAACTGTCCACAAGCATGCTGCATGATTTGGAAGGCTGATAATCACTCATTTATTGGGGCACTTTCCATGCTGACTGTAGGAACTAAACATGGAGCAGAGTTCATTTGCAATTTGTGTGCAATCTTATACAGAGAATACATGCATTAGAAAACTAGAAACCTGAAGTAAGACACTGTTTTTTTCTGCTATAGAACAATCTATCTGGAAAACTAGTTTGATTAGGGAGTGTATTTTTATCTGTGGGGTATATTCTTATTTGTGGGGAATCCACACACCTTTCAACCAATGGGTCATAAAGCATGTCTAAAAATACCATGCCAAATGAATAAATAAATCACCAAATTATTATTTATTTAACTGAAGCTTGACACTCAATTTTATTTGGCATAGTCTCTGATGTAAAATGCATTGATAGCTGGGCAATGGCCTGCTATGAAATGGATAAAATCTTCATTGAAGATGAAATGGATAAAATCTTCTCCCACAGTCCAAAATGTGAACAGCTTTGGAGATATCTCCAAAATAGCAATCTTTGTCCTATTCTATCGTATCATGTTCCAGATCTACAAATTAAGGGTATTCATCCCTGTTTTATATTCAAGGTGAGCAAATTTTAAGATGAGGCCAGCTCAGGAGAAAACCTCTTGTTTGACATTTTTAGAGCACATATGACAATAGTGGGATAGAGACTCCTTTGTTTAATTCCTGGTGCTTCTCTTTCACACCTCTCTCTTTATTTGTGTTCATATGTCCTGTCTGCCTTGTTTTGGGTGTGTGTCCATCATGTCTTAGGGACTTGCATGAGCAAATAGTTAGGAGTATAAAAGGCCTGCCGTGGCAGGGTGAAGATCCCCGCAGGCTCCTGCAGTCACTCAGCTGGTACCAGCAGCCCCGTTGCCATTTCCTGTGAGTTTGTGGAAAAAAGGATGTTGTGGGGCAGATGGAGGGTGGGAGTGGGAAGCTCAGTTTTTCTAGCTTTGCAGAGTGGTATGGTGCAGAGTGCAAATGTGTGCAAATCTTAAGCTCGCATTTTGTGGACCTTACTGAGGTTCTTTCCTCTCAGCCCTGCAGAATTTGGCTCTATTTTATATGCAGGAAATACAGAAGTGAAATACCTCAGTCGGTACACATAAAAACTGCATAATCTGGCTTTTGGCATGTGGTATGTATTCAAAGGCAGGCAGATCTTGACTTACTGATTTCAATAAGTTGTTTATAAAGATAACCTTCCCATTTCCCCAAGAATCTCCAACAAGGAGAGCCTGAAAAGCATAAGATAGATTCTGTCAACTATGTTTCACGAAAAAGAAAAATTACTTCCTGTGTTGCAGAAGAGCATTCAGGTTTTCCCATTTCAGATTCTGGATATATGCAAGTGAAAACCTTATCGTTCTGAATCTTATACAGATAATTCTCATTTAACAACCACAATGAACTGGCCACATGTTCATTAAGTGAAACGGTTATTGAGTGAAACAGCTTCAGCTTTCCTTTGCTTTACAGACCTGTGGAGGTTGTAAATGCAAGGATTGATTGCCAAAGTTACTTAGACATCCCTGTTATACCTGTGAATGGTCACTAAACTAGTCAGTTGCTAAACGAGGACTGCCTGTAAAACAGGCCGAGGAGAGTTTAGAAAGAGGAGCCTCTTTGCATTGTGATTTAAAGAAGGAATTCCTTATCACAACTTAGTAAATTCTGGTCATTATTTCATACCATATTTTTTATTTTGAACATTTATAACCCCTTTACATCAAGTAATTTTAAGGCAAGTTATAAGGCACAGAAAAGAGCCTTAATCCTTTTGTTAAAGGCATCCCGTGGTGGCACAGCAGTTAGAGTGCAGTACTACAGGCTACTTTTGCTGACTACCAGCTGACTGCAGTTTGGCAGTTCGAGCCTCACCGGCTCATGGTTGACTCAGCCTTCCCTCATTCCGAGGTCAGTAAAATGAGGATCCAGATTGTTGGGGGCAATAGGCTGACTCTGTAAAGAACTGTGATACAGTATATAAGTTTAAGTACTATTGCTATTCCTCTTCTTTCTTTTAGTTCTTCAGTTCCATGGCAAGAGGTAGCTGGGACTGCTATTTTTCTGTGGTTCCCAAAGGACAGCTTCACATTAGGCTCCTGGTGGATGCTTTCACCAAATGTCCTCTGAATTTAGGCAGACAGGAAGACATGAAGCTTCCTTGTTTTTAGTCAGACTACTCGTCTACTAGCCAGTATTGCCTCCTTTTGACTGCCTCCTTCTCTCTTTTAGGAAGATTATTTTCATCCAGAATGCCAGGGGTTGAACAGCTTCAACTTGAAAAACTCTTATCTAGTGCAGGGGTCTCCAACCTTGGCAACTTTAAGACTTGTGGACTTCAACTCCCAGAATTCCTCAGCCAGCAAAGCTGTTTGAGGAATTCTGGGAGTTGAAGTCCACAAGTCTTAAAGTTGCTAAAGTTGGAGACCCCCGATTCTAGAGAGCCTCTTGCATTAGTTTTTAGATATAAATTATCCAGATGGTATCCTTGGAAGCATATCCATGTGAGAGACTAGTGAGATATATTTAAACAGAAGATAGTCCCTATAGGTCCCTACAATCCCTATAGTCTTATTTAAGTGTCAACTTTTGTTGATATCAGAGGTTATTTATCAGGAAGTTATTTTGAAGGATAGCTTTTTAAAAATCCTTAGATTTTAACATTTAAAGTCTACATTTAAAATCTAAAAATTTTTAAATTCATGAAAGAATACGGAATCCTGCTCTGTCACAGGATAAACTAATTCAGTGTTTCCCAACTTTGGCCACTTGAAGATGTGTGGACTTCAACTCCCAGAATTCCACAGGTAGCCATGTTGAAGTGTACACATGTGGCCAAGGTTGAGAAACACTAATCCATGGCTTTGTGCTTCTTTTTTAAGGCTGACTCCCCCACACAATTCCCCATTAGCCCACCCTCAGTGCTTGACAAAAAAATCTCAGGAGTTGGCAGCATAGAATTAACTGAAAGATTTTATGTCTCACATCAGTATTCCCATTGTAGTTCAGTTCCACCATCTCTTTAGAACTGCTTAGCCACCATTTTGTTCTTGTCTGCTTTGCTTGGTTTAATTTGAGGGATGTGGCTTTGCTGAACTAACCAAATTGCACATTTGACAATACTTTACCACTCCAATATCTTCTAATATTTTAACAGGAAGAACAGAGGTATTAAACAAAAGCAGATCATCCCAAAGGTGAGCTTCCATATGTTTTATGGTTCCAATATAGGGGAGGAAGCATTTTTGTGTCAGTTATTTTACATTTTGCAAAATATGTGCATGTGAATTCTGCTAAAAATGTGCAACAGTATATTACACACTATCTAGATACGTACTATATGTCACTATATATTGGGAAATGCTGTGTGGAACTCTGACTCATGTGAATCTCTGTTTTTATGTAAAGTGAAAATTAAATTCTTGAGAAGGATGAAAAATATTCATCTAACCAAAATTAGGTGCTGTGATGAAATCCATAAAGATTTGGAGCACTCAACTCTTCTTCATAGTTTCCTATGTATCTCCATTTCTATAGTTGACAACAAAATAAGAACCTAAATGAAGCATAATTTAATGCACTCATCCCACCAAATGGTGTAATTTCAGTGCTGGAATTATTGTGCCTGACTTCATGGGATTGTAATTATAACTATGGCATTAACTTAGCTGCCCAGAGTCGCTTGGTAGTGAGATGGGCAGCATATAGATTAATTAATCAAATAAACAAATATTCTTTGGCTGCAGAATTTACTGGACTCAAAGTCTTTGAAACTCATCGTGAGCATGACGTTGCATGACCGAACCACAAAATCCCTCCTGCATTTGCATAAGAAGAAGAAGCCGCCTAGCATCAGCGCTCAGTTCCAGGTAAAAGGGCACATACAGTGGAAGGGAATGAGCATAGCTGCCCACCCCCACTTTTATTTAATGTTTTTCATAATTGGTACCACATACGGGGTTGGGAATCTGTGCAGGTGTTATATTCGATTTTATATGTATTTGTGCAATTATAGTACTGGAGAAAACTCCTGCGAGAACCTTGGACTGCAAGGCGATCAAACCGGTCAGTCCTAGAGGAGATCAACCCTGACTGATCTTTAGAAGGCCAGATCCTGAAGATGAAACTCAGATACTTAGGCCCCCTAATGAGAAGGAAGGACTCATGGAGAAGAGCCTAATGCTGGAGAAGATTGAGGGCAAAAGAAGAAGGGGACGGCAGAGAATGAAGGGGGCTGGATGGAGTCACTGAAGCAGTAGGCGTGAGCTTAAATGGACTCCAGGGTATGGTAGAGGACAGGAAGGCCTGGAGGAACGTTGTCCATGGGGTCACAGTGGATCGGACATGACTCCGCAACTAACAATTAAAAAAATGTATTTGTGCAGGAAGCTTGTTTCATGGGACGGTGGGAGGGAGAACATGGTGTATATCTTCTCAGTTTCTCTTCATTGTTGCAGCCATAGTACTTCTTTACTTCACTCTTTTGCACGGAATTTGAAGTAGATATTTCTTCAGTTATTTTCTTTTCTAGTCAACCTTTTCCCTTCTTCTGTACTTTTTTTCATTTCTCTTAATTCTGCATTTCCAGAAAAACTAGAAAAGAGTGCCCTTTGTGCAAAGGCACCCAGTGCTAAAACCTATGGTAATAAGTGTCATGCTTTCTTCTGTAGGGAGAATGAATCAATTGAACGGGGAATGGTAATAGATCCCCGATCTTAAATCTGTTCGTCTTCTCATGGACCTCATTCATATAAGAACAAGTGGCCCTTTGTCCCACCATGAGGATTAAATAACATGAGCAACACACTGGTCAGGAGTCCACAGAGTAGTACCAATTGTTTTTCAGATCACAAGGATAATTCTTTTAAGATTTTTCTTCTTCAGGCAAAGGGATGGTAGAATTTTAGAAGTGAAAGTCATGTTCTTGTTGACAATTTTAGTTGGAAATCTTCCAAGTATATCCTTCTCAATGTTCAATTCTACTCCACTTTAAGGGACTCTGGGTGGGTGACAATGGAATTAAGTATGCCATATGGAAACAAATAGAATACTGAAACAAAAGCAAGCTCAAACTGAATGGCTTTCCCTCGTTTGTCCATATCAGTAGAGATAAGTATTCCAAAGAATGGGAGCTACATCTAAGAAGGCCTGTCCATAAACGTGTGGTCCCCTAAACCTCACAAGGAGGATGACTCTCAACAGACCTTCTCTTAGATGTTCAAGACCTATATACAGATTCTGTTCTAACAAGGCGTTGCCTGATTTATCTCAGCCTGTATCATTCAGGGCTTTAACAATCAGCACTTTATCTGAGCCTGAAAGCATACAGTAGTGGTAACAAATACAGTAATTTAAAGATTGGTGATATTCTTCACTGGCAAGGTATTCCTACAATAATCTAGGTTCTGTATTCTGCAGCAGCTGTAATTCCAGGTTGACTCCAGTAGTACCCGTCCCACTGCCCCAGATGTTAGAGTAGCTCAAAGAAGTGGTGATCAAGGTGTAAGTTACTTAAGGTGGCTGGCAAATTAGCCAAAGTTGGGTAAAAGTTCCCCCGATCAAAATTTTCACCTGTTGTTTTAGTACAAGCTGAGAGTTCAGGTCATAAGCCACTTTGGGAAGAGGATGATCCCATCAAGACTAATTAGTGGCATTAATATTACTGGGATTCTTAACTGTTTATTGACGAACAACAATTTTGTCTTGCTAGGAATTAATCTGCGCTTGTTTCACCTGGTCCATACACTCACAGACTCTTCTGCATCTTTAATAGTTCTATAGGTATTTCAGATGTGCATTTTCCAGTATGATAGCCAGTTAATCATCGCTGGTAGTATCTGGTAGCCCAAAATTTATATTGTTAAGTGAGAATTTGTTAAGTGACTTTTGCCTCATTTTGCAACATTTCTTGCCACAGTTGTTAAGTGAATCACTGCAGTTGATAAATTAGTAACCTGGATGTTAAGTGAATCTGGCTTCCCCATTTCTGACTTTGCTTGTCAGAAGGTTGCAGAAAGTGATCACATGACCCTGGGATGCTGCAACAGTCATAAGTATGAACCAGTTGCCAAGCCTCTGAATTGTGATATCACGATCATGGAGATGCTGCAAAGGTTGTAACTGTGAAAAACAGTGATAAGTCACATTTTCCAGTGCTGTTATAGGTTTGAAGGGTCACTAAACGAATTGTTGTAAGTCGAGGACTACCTGTATACTGTTTCTTTGCAAACGTGTGTCATTCTCTATAATTCACTTATAAAAACTTGAAGAGTTCTTCTACAGTTGCTCTTGAGCATTATTAAAGTAAAAACTAAGTCGTCTTCAAATCTAGCTTTACTTCTGATGATTTCATGGACATATCCATGGGAGTGGTTTGCTCTTACCTTCCTTTGGGATAGTTTTCAACTGTCCTGTTTAGATCAATAGTCTTCCATTCCCTGGGAGTTTCCCATCCAAATATTAACTAGGAGCGACACAAAACCTAATGTTAAGGCTAAGTATTTCTGCTAAGGCTGAGTATTTCTACTTTCATGGTAATTTTTCCTATTATTTTCCCCTGTTAAAAAGGTTTTTTTTTTTCACTTTCCTTTTCTTGTTCCTATATTTTTTGAATACTTGATGGGGATACCTTCTTTTGTCCTTTCTTGCTTAATGCCGGAAAGCATGTTGAATCATTATACAACTTTTTTATTGTCCAAGACTTTAATTCTCTCTCTTCCCATGTTCATAATCATAATTTGCTCAGAAAGCAGTTTGAATCTTTTTCACCTTGAAATACTGGGGTTTTTCCCCATTTGGTTTTACAGTGCTTTTTCATTAAACATGCTGAACCTGTTCCTTTCTTTGTCTTAAAGTTATTTATCTGTTTTCTGGCCATATTTTATCAGCAACCTATACTCTTTTCAATTTTCTAAATTTAATCCATACATTTAACATAAATAATAAATTGTTCCACCTTCTATACCTGACTCAATTGTATTTCTCTCTCTTCTGTTTCATAGTCCATCTGGTTTCAATATTCATATGCTGATATCCATATTTAGGGTTTAGAACAAAGTTATGGCAGTAAAGAATTTTTTTGGCAAAGCACATACTTCGATATATCCTTTTTTGAATATCTCTATGTAAGAGATATTCTTTAATATGGACTACTGTATTCAGTGTGGACTACTGCATTACAGTTTGTATAAGTTTTCTTATTCCTTAGACATGCAGCGGGCGTGCTTTATTTTTACTTTGATAGTATTAAGTTTTCCTTCATGTTTCTCATACACTATATTCAAGATAGGAGAAAGCGTTGAATATGTTCAATGAATTGAATTGAATACTTTATCTGGTGAAGATTCTTAAAATATCATGGAAAACCAAGAAAGCAAATCTCTCTGTTTTGTGAAAGGGCTTGCCTCCCCCAGAATGGGAAGGCCTCAATAATCCTACGGTTCTTAAGGCCTAACAATTTCCTGAGATATTACGCTGAAGTATACTGATATATTGTTAGTATCTTCACTTGGCAATTTCAGGAGTTGTTTTTGTCCAATGTAATATCTAAAGGCGATTGCGTGAAGCATTATTACTTGCCTAAATATCAGCATTTGCACGGTGTGATGAATTTTATCGCTCATTTCATTTGATGTCATTTTGTCATCCTGGTAGATTACTATGTTGTGTTAACACAGCTTTATTTTTATTTATTTATTTTTGTCAATTGCTTACAAGATAATAGATATAAGTAAAAACATAGTTATGAATACATGGATACATATAAGGAAAATAAAAAAATAAAAGAAACAATAGGACAGGGACAGTAGGGCACATTGGTGCACTTATTCACGCACCCTACAGACCTCTTAGGAAAGGGGTGAGGTCAATAGTAGGTAGTCTAAAGTTAAAGTTTTGGGGGTTTGGGGAAGAAACCACAGAGTGAGGTAGAGTATTCCAGACATTGACCACTCTGTTGCTGAAGTCGTATTTCCTGCAATCAAGCTTGTTTGGTTAGTTTATGTTTCACTGAATTATACATGTCCAGAAAATTGAACCCATTGCTTAACCAAGCAAAATATGTTGTACAATGTTTTGAAATGCATAGTGCAACATAATCTTGCTGCCATATGATAGTATTTCTAATATATCTTGTTTCTTTGGAAATAGAAGGAAAGTGTAGGCTTGAAAGATAGATGGCCTATATTGGGATGTCAAACTCAAGGCCTGTGAGTGTTTAAATCTGGCCTGCAGGGCTACCCTGGAAACAGTGAAGGACCAGCCCAGGGTGCCTCTGCCAGCAAGAACTGAGCTTGGGAGGACCACATGCAGCCCTCCTCACCTCTGTTTTTGCTGGCAGAAGGTTGCAGGAGGCTGTTGCACCCTGAAATGGAGCGTGGAAACCCGTTTTCACTGGCAAAGTGTTCAGGCCACCACAAGCGCCCCTGACACGAGTGATGTCGAACTGGCCATGCCCACCCCAGCCCCCTGAGGTCAAACACAACCCTGATACGGCCCTCAATGAAGTTGAGTTTGACACCCCTGGCCTAGATGGTTCTTTCTCTAAGCTTGGCTGATAAATTCCTATTTTGTGACTCATTTCAGACTTCTTTGAACAAGCTTCTAGAAACTTTGGGGAAAGCTGAGCCCTTTTTTATCCGCTGCATCCGTTCCAATTCTGAGAAGGTAGGTGGACACCGTTGGATCCTGGGTCTTGCCAGTAGTATTCTTTGCATAAAAGTCTTGCATTAAAATTGATAACATATAGGGAATCCTATATTCTTGATTAGCCGGTTGCCTCTAAACAATTTCTACCAATCTCAAGTTGATTAGTTTTCATAAAAAGAAAATAAAACCAACTAAACATTGTATTCTTAACTGTAAAAACTAAAAAGCTCAGTAGCTCACACCTGCACTCTTATAGGATACTTCCCTGTACAAAAGATTGTTACAATCTTTCATAGATCGTTTAAGATTGTGAAAAATTAATACTTTCTGGAGGTTTTTTTTTAATGTACATTGAAAATTTTACATTTTTATTATTTTAGAATACTTTTTAGAATAAATGTATCATTTTGGGAAAGAAAACTACTTAATTCTTCTTGGCAGTTAATTGAAGCAGTCTTTTTCATTGCTTTAATTAATGCAATCTTTTCAACAATTTTCGTGGATACATTTTTAATAGTATTTCTGGAAAAGAAAATATTCATGGATCCATTCATTTTCTTAAAAGGAACATTCCTTGGAGAGAAGTATTGGAGAAATATGGCATTACTCCATAATTTACATAGCAACCTAATTAAAATCAGTTAAATATTTTAAAGGTACAGCACCCATTTATTTAGAATCACCTTCATAATCAAAACAGTTTAAACCTCCTCAATTTGTTTTATTGGCTGAAAGAGCTAAATAAAGAATACTCCTCATCTTTTAGAAAATGCAACAGGCAATAGTAACTCCATTTATGAGAACAGAGATTCTCATTTGGGAAGGCCAGCTGCATAGAGATTGTTCTTGATCTTCTATTTCTTTCTTTTTTTTTCCAGAGGGAGTTGTTCTTTGATGAACGGCTGGTACTTCAGCAATTGAGATATACAGGAATGCTGGAAACAGTGAGAATCCGACAATCAGGCTACAGTGCTAAATTTAACTTCCAGGTACCTTTCCATTCCGGGTATGCCTTCTTTCCTTAGTCCAAGAAAAGTCACTTGATTGATCAAAACCATCCTCAGAATTCCTACTATTACAATCCATCCTTCCCTTATAGAAGGAGTCACCTGGCAATGAGCCAGTATCATGAATTCAAGCATTTGTCATAGTCTTTTCTCCATTTTCTTCCCGCCCCCTTTATTTTTTAAGTAGTTACATTAACAGCCAAATACATTAAGTTTGTTTAACCTAAAGGATGAAAAGTTATATGAGGTCTGTTTATCAGAAGACGACAGCCAGGAAGCTGCCTTAAGCCAGGATCAGATGCCTCCTCTTCCTCCTCTTTTTGTCTATCCTGACTCACAGTTCTGTGCCTCAGAAAAGGAAAAAGAGAAAGCAAGACCAATGTCTATGGAGATTCTCAGTCATCCAGGTCATGGTTGTCTCAAAGGTGCTTTTTTCAAGAGGCAACTGGACTTTTCTGGTTTTTCTTTGAAGACGTTTCACTTTTCATCCAAGAATCTTCTTTAGGTCTGACTGAATGATGGGGAATTCCCCACCTCCAGTGAAACGTCTTCAAAGGAAAATGAGAAAAGCCTAGTTGCCTCTTGAAAAAAAACACCTTTGGGACAGAAAACAACACCAATCTCTTTATTTAGTCTTGTTCCTAGAAAGTCTGGAGTTGTTTGTATTCAAAGTACTTGAAACACCAAAGAGTTCCTTAGTCATATATTTGTTCTAAACACTGTGTATACATGCTACCACTTGCATGTAAGGACACAAATCTAGCCCAATCAATCCTTGCAGCTAAGTTATGCCTCCTCATGAAAAAAAAATGTATAAGTTACAATTTGGTTTACCTCAATTGTCCTTGATCTGGACTTGCAGAGATATAACTCCCTATATTCAGAGGTCTTGTGCCAGGGTCTGGATCAGATAGTTGAAATAATTATTCATGCGTTGCTATATTGTCCTTTGTCTATCTGGCAGTCTATATTGTTACTTGCCATCTTGAGTTATTTATAAAAATAATAAAGGGGAGGGAGGGAGGAAGGAAAACATTCAAATTCATTGTAGGATAATGAGTTCTTGGCTAAATCTGCTTTTGTTTATGCATTACCTTCCTAGGATTTTATTGGTCAATTTCAAGTGTTGCTGCCCAAAAATGTCAAAGCCTCCAAGGAAGAAATTAATGCTCTGTTAAACAAGCTGAATCTGGACACTAACAGCTATCAAATAGGAAAGACCAAGGTATGTTTGAATTAACAACTGAAAACTAAATACATTCAACATGGTCTTTAGAATAAGGCCAAATCTAAACATCTTGTGTGAATTTTCCTTCTTTATACTGACCAGTCTGGACCCTCTCTTTGTGTGTGCTATTCTGTTTGGGATCGTTGTCATATCTTCTTCCTGAATTTTTAAAATGGGAATCTGAGTAGGCAGGCTAAATTGTTTTGGTCTATAATGAAGGAAGAGTTAGATGTAACTGTTCTCTAACAGTACAATATCTACAGCTGTACAAATCTCCCACGATGAAATTAAATTAGTGCAATAAATGTAAAGTACTTTTATTTGTAGTATCTTTCCATAAAATCACCCTTTAAGACAGGGGTATGTAATTTTCCCAAAGAGTCACACGAGAAACTGGAACTGTTGTGGAAGGCTGAACCAATAGGACAGTGAAGATTCAGAGGCATGCAAATAAGTGCATATGTAAACTGGGGGGAAAAATAGCAGTCACCCTCAAAATAAAAGCAATCCATGCAGGCTGGACAGAGGCAGCCAACGGGCCAGGTATCACCAGAGGACCATAAAATGTCCAGTTCTGTTTTGAGGTCTTAACTAAATGTATGTAATTAAAAAAATACCCTTTTCCCTTTCTTTTTCTTTCCTACTTTCTACACTTGCCCTGTATCCACTTTTAATGTGCCTTGGATCAGGAATCTGCCCTCTTATCAGTAATAATTCAATGTCTGTGCATTCCTCCTAATGACTAGAATTCCCTGGTCCTATTTCTTTCTTTAAATATCTGGTTGCAATAAATATGAGGGGCTAGTTTATGGTGCCATGATGGTGCAGTGCTTAGAATGCAGTATTGTAGGCTAACTCTACTCTTTCTGCCATGAGTTCAATTCCTTCGATCCTGACCAGCTCAAAGTTGACTCTGCTTGAGGACCCAGATTGTTGCTGACTCTGTAAACTGCTTAGAGAGGGCTGTAAAGCACTGTGAAGCAGTATATAAGTCTAAGGGCTATTGCTATTGTTATCCCTTTTTCAAGAGGCAACTGGACTTTCTTGTTCTTCTTTGAAGACGTAACACTTCTCATCCAAGAAGCTTCTGTAGCTCTCTGCTGTTGCTATTTGCTAGTTTCAAAACATTGAATAATCAGAAGTCTCTGTCAACTCTGAAGCGAACCTGGCTGAAGCCATCTTGTGCTGCCTCATAGTTGTCACAAAGCCTGAAAGGGAGAAGGGATAGCCAAGCTAACAGTCAAAACAAAAAGTTTTCCTGTGGGCACCAAGGTCATCATAACAGATGGCTGCTGAAAGAGGAGAAGAGCCTGCTAACTATATTCAATATTCAATGTGACCAGTGACACCTGGGAGGGGGGATTTTTACTCTTAAGTGGGTGAAAACCACTGGAACTTTTAGAGTTGGTTTTCACTGGCTGTGCCGATATGATGTATCCAATAAATACGTTCTTTGAAGAATCTACCTGCCTTGGAGGAATTCTGCTTTCAATGGGTGCGTTACTCGGAACACTGACAGTGTCTTTCCTGCCCTCCAGGTATTCATGAAGGAAGCCACCCGACAGGTGCTCCAGGACACCCTACACAAAGAAGTCATCCGGAAGATCATTGTCCTCCAGAGCTGGCTGCGAATGGTGCTGGAGAGGAGGCGCTTCCTCCGGACTCGGCAAGCGGCGATTACCTTGCAGGTACAGGCCCTGGTAGTGGTTGCCATCTTCCCTCACTTCTATGAGACACCTTTTCCTTCCCATGAAGGTCTGTTCCTCCTCTGTATCGATTGCAGGCACGCTGGCGTTCTTACTGTGTCGTCCGGAGGGCCCTGGAGAAAGAAAATGCTGCTATTTATATTCAATCGGTATGGCGTGGATACCGAGAAAGGAAAACATACCAGCACCAGAAGAAGAGGGTTTGTCTCCTTCAGGCTCTGGTACGGGGGTATCTGCAGCGCAAAAGGTGAGCAACACGTGGTTTTACACATCGCTTGAGCCTAAAGTGATAAAATAGGAAGAATCCGCTCAGATTAAACCAGAGATTCATCAGGTACAACATTTCATTTTTAAATGCTTCAAAGCCAAAGATCAGATTTTGCATTTTGCCTTCTCATCCTGTCTGGGATTTTGGAGGCAGCCGTGGTAATAAAAGGATGCTTGGCATTTTCTTTTTTTTGACTCTGCAACTTTTATTCTTGAGAGAGCCAGTATGGTCTAGTGGTTAAAGCACCAGTCTAGGAACTTGGAGGTTGTAGTCCCAGTTTAGGCATGAAGCCAGCTGGATGACCTTGGACTAGTCAGTCTACCTCAGCCCCAGGAAGGAGGCAGTGGCAAACCACTTCCAAATATTTTGCCAAGAAAACTGCAGAGACCAATACAGGAGTCAAGACTGACTCAAAGTTATATACACAAACACCCCAAAACCATTCCTGGGTAAATTGTTTATTTTTCCCTCCCGCTTTAAACCCTTAGGTTTCGTCAAATGATTGCAGAGAAAAAGCAAGAGGAAATAAAACAGGAACTTTTAAAGCAAGATAATGAGTTGCTCCAGCCAAAGGAACCCATCTCAGAGCAGGTGGCTATTGAGCTCAAGGTGCAGCTGGATAAAACATCTGGGCTGATAGCAGATGGTGATGGATCCAAAAATGCCCAAGCAGAAAGCCAGTCTCCTCCTCAGTCTCAAAAGATCAACCGGAAGAAACGGGAGTGCCGCCGACAAAGAGGATTGGAGCACAACAAGCTGCAAAATAAGCAAGTTGTTTTAGCATTTGAGGGGGCCCCCGAAGTCCCTACCAGGGAAAATAGCCCCCCTCAGGAAGAAGAGGTTCAAAAGCTTGAGCAACCTGTAGGAGAAGATGCAGTTTCCTCTTCAGAAATGCTCCCCAAATGCGTTGAGGAAGAAGGAGCACCAGGGACTGACAATCATCTTCCTCCTTTGGATGGTGGCGCACTGGTTCCCAGTCCAAGCCCAGTAATGAAACTGGAAAATAGGGTGCTAAAAGAGGATGGAAATGTACAGGAAAGACTGGAAAATCCCAAGATCCGGACCAGTCAAAGCTTCACTTATCCTGAGAGGCCCACAGAGCTGGATCTAACTTGGCCAAACAGTCTGATGGCTAACCGGAGCTTCCGGAGCCGTGCTGACAAAAGGAAGCCACAAGCTGTGAAGGACTTAGGCAGTCCCCCCTCCTTCCAAATTCAACGGTACCTGGACGACCCAAGCAAACTGCGAGATAAGCGGGAGCGCTGGCAAGGAAAGAGGCAGCAGGTCAGCGGACAGAACAACCTGGTCAGCCTATCTTTGGAAGAGAAGAGTGCTCCAGCCATATCTTCTTCTGCAAAATTAAAGTAAGATTCTGGGCGTTGCATCTTTAATCCTGAAAAAGGATGAGAAATAAAAATTGGGAAGGATAGGTCTTGAGTAGAGGTTGTCCTCGGCTTCATTTAGTGACCGTTCAAAGTTACAACAGCACTGGAAAAAGTGACTGATGACCATTTTTCACACTTATGAACAAAATTCAGACATTAGAACACTGACTCTTATAATGATTGCAATATCCTGGGGTTGTGTGATTCCCCTTTTGTGACCTTCTGAAAAGCAAAGTCAATGGAGTAGCCAGATTCACTTAACAATCATTTTACTGATTTAACAACTGCAGTGTTTCACTTAAGAGCTGTGGCAAGAAAGATCATAAAATGGGGCAAAATTCACTTAACAACTGTCTTGCTTCACAACATTAGTTTTGGGCTCATTTGTGGTCATAAGTTGAGGACTACTTGTACTAATCTGAATTAGGTTTCCTGTAAAAACCACTGTTTCCTAAAGCTGTGCAATCATATACAATCACTAGTGGTTCTGTATACAACTCTACCTCCATCATGTAGTGCTTCTGTTTTTAAAAGATACATTTCCCTTCGCCCCTGGAAGATTAATCTAAATGTGACCGTGCGGGACAAAAGAGAAAGAATGAGAAAAAGGGAACTGAAGTTTTCACCTGTGATTTTAAATTCATGAGCCGCAGTGGCAAAGTGGTTAGAATGCCGTACTGCAAGCTACTTCTGCTGCCTGATGGTTGCCTGCAATTTGGCAGTTCGAATCCCACCAGGCTTAAGGTTGACTCAGCCTTCTGCCCTTCCAGGCCAGTAAAATGAGGACCCAGATTGTTGGGGGCAATAGGCTGACTCTGTAAACCGCTTAGAGAGGGCTGTAAAGCATTATAAAGCCGTATATATAAATCTAAATGCTATTGCTCTTCCCATTTTGCTTTTTGGCTGAGAAGGATCTTCGAAGTGACTTCTATCCAAAATATTTTTTCTTAAGAAAGTGCTGATGAAATTATACAAATCTAAATACTTGCAGTTTTGTTGTTTTAGTCTCTCTTCTAAATCACAGAAGTGTGCCCTATAGATGGATCCACACTTATAGTGCATTTTGTACCAAAAGTAAACTTGCACAGAATGCAAAATAACCTCACCTATTGTTAGTTGCATCTACCATCATCATCTCGGGTGATTGGCAGAGCAAACTAAGGCATGTGAGGATTGCCTAATGTGCAGAGGACACTTGTTTACTGCAGTTGTCCCAGGGAGACCAATACCCAAATAAAGTTTAAAGCGGTAGCGCTATTTGCTACCACCATCAAGTAGGTTAACTCTCACTGCAGTATCTTCAGGGGTGCGATTCCACCAGTATAGCAACAGTTTGGTGATTGCATGCTCAGCATTTAAAAAAGGTAAGCCCATACTTACCTTCAAGTGCAGCCTCTGTGAAGAAAACAGCTGAGGCGCGGCAAACTGCTCTTTCGTGCGAATCAGCTGTGCTCAAAACAAAGGCATAAAGCACAGGAAAGAGCAGGGGTGGGTAGGTGGGCGGGCCCACTTCCTCATCGCAGCGAACCAGTTAGGAGCGAGCTGAACATCGGAACAAGGGATTCGCCTGAACTGGTCCCAACCGGTAGAATCCCACCCCTGATACAACTAAAGCAGGGGTCCCCAAACTTGGCAAATTTAAAACTTGTGGACTTCAACTCCCAGAATTCTCCAGCTGGCTGGAGAATTCTGGGAGTTGAAGTTCACAAGTCTTCAAGTTGCCAAGTTTGAAGACCTCTGAACTAAAGAGTTAAGAACAGGCTGAAACAATTCCTCATTAAGCAGCATTATTCAGGCAATACAGTGAAATAATACTGGGGCATTTCTGTTTCTTTCAGGGTAGAGTGCTTAGCCAAGAAATATACCCCGTAAAGCATTGGGAAGCAGTATATCAGTCTTAAGTGCTATTTCTATTACTGCAAATGGGTCTTGACTTTCTTTGAAAAGGACAATTTTCATCAGCTTGCATTGCCTGCCTTTAAGTTCTACCTTGAAATTGTTTCAGTTTGAATGAATGAGCTACAGCGCATAAGAGTGGCCAAGGAGATCTGTCAAAATTTGTCCACACAGAATCGCAACTTATTGGCCTCTAACAGGATCCTTTTAAAGCCCGGGTGGTTTCATTTTGAAATATCTTTTTCCCCCCTTGCAGGAAGAAAAAAACGGCTTCTTCCTTGGACGACATCCCCAAGGTCACTCTTTCCACTTCCACAAGCCAGGTACTGCTTGCTGAACTAAACCTGTTCATGTTGTGGTCCTTGTAACTACAGCCAGCAGCAAAGGAGCATTGTGCAAGAGAAAACAGCTCCCAGTAGCTTGAGCAAAAAATTACAGCAAAAATCTTAAATCAAACCAATACACGATTTGATTTGCTAAGGAGAGCTGACATTGCATTTGCTGTAACAATTTACAGTCAAATTCTTGCATGCAGTGATAACAGATGCAAAGTATTAAATCTGAAGACCTTTTTTTGGTCCTAGACTATAGGGCATTACTGCTAATTAAAAAATGAACTAAGAAGCTTTTTTAAATACTTCATTTTTTTTAGAGGAAAATCTTCAGCTGGAAGATTGGAGTGCGCACTTGAAACATTTTTGGGGCAGAAGGACAGATTTTTTTTGTTTTCCATACATCATGAATATTCAGTGATCAGATTGTACAAGTTGGCTACCAGCCTTATTTGGAAGGTGATTTAGTGCCATAATACAGTCGGAGAGCAAATGACTTTTTTTCTACAGAATGCCCCTAGCTCAAATTCCACCAGCTTTAATTTCACTTCAAAAGTGACTTCTCTCCTGAAGAATTATGTGCCAAAAGAATCTGAAAATCAGTACATCGATTGATATCCCATTTTTCCTAGAGTAATATTCACAGCAGTTCATGGAAAGCTGTTAAAACTATAATATTAACCAAATGGTTGGTGGGGTATGGAAAAACAGATAGTAACATGTAAAACATCAGTTGTCAAAAACCACCAGCCAGTTTGAAAATCCCCTGAAAGACAAATCAGCTGAATGGGTTTGATTAAAATTCAAATAATTTGGATTTGATTACCAGAACAGAATCTTGAAAAAAACTGCAGTATAGCCTTTGAAAGGAATTTTTTTTTGGCAGAAATGTCTTTCAAAGCAGATTTCTATGGCTTTAAAGAGGAATTAATAAATAGATGAAATGTAAGCCTCATGTATTTAGACTTCCCAGACTTCAGTATTTATAGTTCAAAGGACTGCAGCTTATGGAACTTTAAAAAGCCTCTTTTTGCACGCATAGCCGGAAAACCATTGCCAAATAAAATACTTGGTAGATTAATAAGCTCATTTGGCATAAAACAATCTAGAATGTTCTCATGCTTTTAACTGTGCATCCTCATATTCCAGAAATTGTTACATTTATTTTAATTAATGTAATAACATAACCTGGTCTAAGGCAGGTTTTCATATTTTTCTTCATGTTTGCAGCCATCTTTGGACACAGTAGAAAGTGATGGAAACACCCAGAAGAAAATCGCACCGAAGAAATCTGAGGAGCTACCTACTACCTTAAGTGCAGTGGGCCTTACTTCAGGACCCAGCCAACAGATAGATGCCAAGTATGCGTGCCTTGTGGACACTTGTGGGTGTCAGGCAGTGATAGTGGCAAAAAAATTCTAGTTTAATCAATCAGATGAGGTTTTGGGAACTGGGGAAGGGCACAGAGAATTCAGCCAATCACTATTCCAGTAGATCCTTTATAGAGAAACAGGGTTCACTAATTTTTGCCGGCCAAAGCTGCCGCCTTCTAAGCTACACAATTTCATCTTGCATTGTATTTTGGGCTACTTCAGAGCAAAGGTTGTTCTGAGATAGCCGATCTAGCAGCCTCATAGAAGGAGCGATTCTTTCTTCTTAGCTCAAATCCCAGCCTGCTGTTATTTACCTCATCTTCAGCTGTTTTCTATTCTTGTCAGATCTACTTTCAAGAGTCCATTGTGGAGACTCTTGGCAAAAAGAACAGACAAGAAGAACCTCAAAGAGTATTCTGAAGTATTCGAGGATACTAGTGAGTCTATTCCACTCTTCTCCTGCATGTTGCCAATGGAGCCGACAGTGACGCAGAAGGCAATAGAAGGTAAATGTTGGCACCTGCTGAATAGGCTGTCTTTCCGATGGCAAACTTCTATTTTTGTCCAGGCCATTGCCAGAAGAGAACCTTGTTCTTTCATGCCTTGGAAGAACTATTTATATGGTTCAGAATGGGGAGCCACAACCCCCAGGTCTCTTAAAACTACAAACAACATCCTCCCAAGCTCTCCAATATACAATCTGAACATTTTTCTAAGCCTCTGCCACATCAGTGGAACAGGATTTTGTTGTAGAGAGATGGGGCGGATGAGGAGCAGGAGGGAAAAAAGTATTATAATATGTTACCCTATTTGTGATACCCCCAAATTTAAAAGGCTTCCCATCTCTAATGCAGATGAGAATCACAAGCTGTTTATCTGAAACCAGCTGAGCATGTTGGTTGTGGAGGGAAAAGGAAGGAAAGCTCTTCATTTTTCATTGTTTTTTTCCCCATTTCCAGCTCCTTCTGGGCCTCCTAATCACCCCCAGTTGGAGGAGCGCCAGACAAAAGAATTCGGCAAAGCAAAGAGGAACCGCACCATTAAGATCAGCAAAGCCAAACGGGCGCCAGAGAAATGGAAGGCACCATTTCTAAGGGAGATTGCAAATGCTAGTGAGCTGAAATATTTGGATGAATTCCTTTTGAACAAGGTGAGAGATGACAGTTGGGTATGAAAACCAAATCAAGCACCCATTTAGGCAATGATAATGCATGGAATGTGTAATTGATTTTCCTGGTAAGTTATATTCTAACTTGGGAGTACATAGTCTAACCCCAGGATTCCCCAAAGATTCTCTTCATTTGCAGTGTTTATATTCTGCAAGAGTTACCAAGGAAGGACTCTGGATAGAATCAACAAAAACATAAAAAATAAACAATAGCATACACATATTTGAAAGTCCATTAAGCAATGAAAATAAGGGCCTTAAACTACCTAAGAGCCAGATATTCACTGAGACAATATTATTTTAGCTAGTTTATGAACGAATAATAGCCAGGGACCTTCTCTTTGTCTTAAGGGAGAGTATTCCATAGAATGGGGCTGATCCAAGCACACATGTGTCTCTTGAAGAGGATAGGATCCACAGTTAGCCCTTGTTTGATGACGACTAGAGGGTTCAGACAAAGTATTGCCAGATTTAACAGATAACAGATAATCAGAGTTAGAAGGTACCTTGTAGGTCATCTAGTCCAACCCCCCTGCCCAAGCAGGAGACCCTACACCATTTCTGACAGATGGAAGTCCAATCTCTTCTTGAAAGACTCAAGTGATGGCGCTCCCACAACTTCTGAGGGCAGAGTGTTCCTTCCATTGGTTGATAGTTCTCACTGTCAGAAAGTTTCTCCTTATTTCCAGATTAAATCTCTCCTTGTTCAGTTTCCATCCATTATTCCTTGTCTGGTCTACAGGTGCTTTAGAAAATAGCTGGACCCCTCCTTTTTTTTTTCTTCTTCAGATAAATGATCTCCATTCTCAGAAGTCAGCCATTGAATGCTTGTTTTTTGAAGCCACTGAGAAGTTTCGTGGGAATATCAAAACCATGTATTCTGCTCCTGTAAGTAGCATGTGCGGAGGGGATGTCAAAATGAAGTACCACTGGCTTAAATGAAAGAGAACAGCTTTAAAACAAAATTGTCTATTAAATATTTGCAGAAGTCATCGACAGCTGTGGGGGAATCAGTAGTACAACTTCATTTGCACATGGAGGGTTTTTAAAATATTGACTGGAACCTGTGTTAGCAATGATAATGTGTTCAATAGCTAGGCCTTCAGTTTGTAAAGTTTTGTGTTAGTAAGAAGGAAATAAGCATTGTATTAAATCTGCACTGAAATTCCATTTTTTTCAGTTATAACTGTAACCATGTTATTCATTGTAACTATATTCCACTTTTCTTCCAAAAGCTTCAAGTAAATGTATATACCAGTGGTGGCTAACCTTTTTGGGCTCCTGTGCCAAAAATTGTGCGCATGCTTGCACATGCGTGCTCGCATGCCAGCACCCAGAAGGCAATACGCGTGTGCGACTGGGCATGCATGCATAATCACCCCCCTGCCGCCCCCTTACTTGCACTGCATCTCACAGCTGATTTTCGGCCGGTTTGAGGCCTTTTTTGGTTTCCCAGAGGCTTGAAAAAAGCCTTTGCAGGCCAACTAATAGGCCCGTTTCATCACTTCTGGTATTACAGGAAGTGACAAAACGGACCTATTATTCATCCTGCAAAGCCTGCAGAGGCTTTTTCAAGCCTCTGGGAGGCTGAAAAAGGCATCAAACCATCCAAAAATCAGCTGTGAGGCACGCGCATGCGCAGTGAGGTAAGTTTTCTTGAGGCTCGTTTGCCAACATAAATGGCTCTGCGTGCCACCTGTGGCATGTGTGCCATAGGTTCGCCTCACGGGTATACCATCTTTTCCTCCAATTTTCCCATGAAGCAACTATGAATTAGGTTGAGCTAAAAAATAGGAAGTAGCCCAGAGAGCTTCATTGACAGTATTTATATATGAATACTGGTCTTTCCATCCTTGTCCAATATCTTCCTCCTAGTAACATCTTTTCTTTATATCACACTGGGTTTCTGAGTTTCTAAATTGCTTAACAAAACACTAACTTCTTTAATATCTCCCCAACATTTTAGATTGCAAAATTTATTAATGTAGCCCTGATGGATCAGATCTAAATTTGATGCAATGCAATAATCCACTAGATCAGGGGTGTCAAACTCAAGGCCACATCCAGCCTGCAGTGTGCTTAGATCTGACCCACCAGGCCGACCTGGAAACAATGAAGGACTGGCCTGCGCAGCCCTCCCATGCTCTGTTTTCACTGGCTGAGGGTTGAAGGAGGCCGTCACACCAAAAATGGAGCTCAGGAGTTTGTTTTCTGTAGCAGAGTACTCAGGCCACCACAGGCGCCCCCAACATGAGTGATGTCAAACTGGCCATGCCCACCCTGGTCCCCCAAGGTCAAGCACAACCCTGATGTGGCCCTCAATGAAATTGAGTATGACACCCCTGCTCTAGATAAACTAAATTTCAGAAGTAAAGGATGAAGGTTACAATCTGCTGCTATTGCTTCCCATAAATCTGACATGTCAGAGATAGATTGCCTCCAAACAGGGAGGCTTTATTTACTATCCCAGACTTACTGTTATAAGCCTCCTCCTGCTCTTTAATGAATTCCTTTGATCCCCCCTTTAAACCCATTTAACCTCTTCAAATATATCCTCCTACGTTTCATAAGTTCATTGTACATTAAAGTGTTTTCTTTTCCCGAATTTACTGCCTAACATAAGAGTACTGAAGAAGCTTGAGTTTGGCTGAAAATTCCATAACTTTTGGAAAATGTCTGAATGTGGTGCACACATGCTGTGCTTATGATTGAGCGCTGTGGGAACACAGATGAGGAAACATCCTGTTCCCCAGGCCGCTGATGCATCCCAGCTCAACATCCCTATTTATTTCTACCACCTTTCCACAGAACGGACAGATCCATGTTGGCTACAGAGACCTGATGGAAAACTACCAACTCCTCGTGGTCAACATGGCAAAACAGAAAGAAGAGAAGGACGTGAAGCTGGTCTTGAATCTTTTCCAGTCTCTTCTGGATGAGTTTGCCCGCAGCTATGCGAAAAAAGAAGAGCCAGAACAACACAAGGTCTCTCATTTGTGTTCTTGGAACCTATTTGTATTCTTAAAGATTGGGTTTTTTTTCATGGAAAGTTTTGATACGGGTGGTTTTCTTTTTGACTCACTTTATAAAGGGGGATTGCGTGCCTTATTATTTCTTTGTTATTATCTCTACACAAACTAAAATCACTTCAATTAACTACAATCCAGAGTATTATTTTCCAGCCTTGGCAATATCCAGATGTCTGTGGACTCCAAATCCCAGAATTCCATACCCAGCATGAGAGTTGTGGGAGCTTATTTGTCACATTTATATACCTCCCATTTCACAATCAAGTCACTCTGGGTGGCATGAAATAAATTTAAAAGCAAAATATACAAATTAATATAAAGATGAATATGAGAAATTTTTAAAGTATAAAAAGGCACAAAGCTAAAAGCAGAACAGAAAAGAAATTAGAAGAAGCGGTGTTAATTAATCAGGAGCCATCTCAAAATTTTGCCAATCTTCTGAGGTCCCTAGACCTGCTGACACAACCAGGTCTTGAGGGACCTTTGGAAAGCTGAAAGGGACGAGACCAACCTTATTTCAAGGAAAAGATGTTCTGTAAAATGGAGGCCACAGCAGAAAAGGCCCACCATCTAGGACCTGTCAAATGAAACTGAGACAAAGTCTATACATCTGGAAATAGCCAAGCTTGGAAAACACTAGCAGAGACTTGTGTTCGTCATACGCTCCCTTTTTATTCTGTCTACTAGCTAAGTGCTCAGCAGGTTCCCTCAGAATCATTCATTCAGTTTCAAAATGTAAAAGGTGCCAATGCTGCAGTTTGCCATAGAAGTGGGAATATTATGTTGCTTCCCAGAAGCAAAGCATTTTTGTATTGCTGGATGCCAAGAACTGGCCTTTCAGCATTAGAGAATCAGCTCTAATGGAAAGCTCAGCTAGAACCGAAAAGACGTGAAAAAGAATCCTTTTTTCTTCTTACTCTTCCAACAGCAAAGCAAGGCTCAAAAAAAAAAGCGAAAACAGGAACATGTGGTGAGTCCTTTGTTATTTTCAGCGTTATATTAGCCCTTGAATTAGGTATGGGTTTTGTGGCTGCCAGTTCTAGGAACTGTCCCTTCTCCCAGGGGTCTCCAACTTGGCAGACTTGTGGACTTCAACTCCCAGAATTCCCCAGCCAGCATAGAATGGAATTCTGGGAGTTGAAGTCCACATGTTTTAAAGTTGCCAAGTTTAGAGGCCCCTGTTTTTTTTAAGAAAAGCCTTATGCGTGGAGAAGAGGAGAATGAGAAGAGAGAAATTATTATGGTGTGTTCAGTTCTTATGTTGTGATATCTTCTGGTGTGACATGAGCTACATTTGGGGGAAAGCAAGTCTGACATAATGGGAGGAAATAACACCAGAAATGAAAAAAAGTGTATATCCAGAGGAACCACCAGAAATTGCAAGAATTATAGAGAAATGGTTTGCAAGCAAGTTCAAGAGTTTTATAATATGTACAACAAATTAAATGGAATAGGAAGTCATAGTATGCTCTAAAGACAAACCACACCTCTGCCCAGAGTTATGCCTGAAAAAAATGCCATTCTAGAATGCCTAATAGACTACAATATGTTTTTTTATCAATTGGGATAGAGAATAATGACTAAGCAGCATGTTTACAAGGTCACATTTTTACTTTATAGTCCTTTGATTCTCTTTTCAATAAAACACATACTTAAAAATACAAGTTTAACAAATAAGTGAAATATATTCAGATATTTGTGTGACTGTTTACAGATTGTGGAACTCAATGGCCATGTCTTTGTGAATTACCAAGTGAACATCTTACAGTCTTGCGAGCAGTGCTCTTCCTACATCTGGCCTATGGAGAAGGCTTGTCTTTGTAGCAGTAAGTGCAAGCTTATAAGATCTGGGGTTTGACACTCTTGCTTTGAACAGCTCTGGGTGTTTCTGACTGTAATGAGCCTTTTCATTTACAGCGGCATAGTCTTGTGGGAGCAGGGAGATAAAATTGTCATTTCTAGTCATAGAAAATCTTCTTCTGAATTGGACTAGGAAGTAGGGCTCTGGTTTGCCTCCTTCCAAAAATGGAAGCATTCCTATTCCTCAGGTTTCCCCACAAAGAAGACTGTGGAAGGAGACTTTTATTTGGGAACAAAATCTTTATTTTATAATTATTTATTTTATTTTTATTTGATTGTTTTCTTTTGTTTAGTTTTGGGTTTTTTTTATCCTATCTTTATTATTTTTATAAATAACTCAAAGGGGTGACTAGAACTCTCAGTCTCCTGATGATTGGCTCAAAGTCACAAACTGTCTTTCATGCCTAAAACAGGACTAGAATTCACAGTCTCCTGTTTTCTAGCCTGGTGCCTTAACCACTAAGACCAAACTGGTTCTGTTTAACACGCCTTTGGTGGGTTTTTTTTTCTTCCCTCTTCTAGTCTGTAAGCTGACCTGCCATAAGAAGTGCCTGTCCAAAATCCAAAGCGGATGCACATCCTCACAAGCAAAAAAAGTAAGTCGTAGCCCCTCTCCGGCCAGCTTTCCACGTGACAGTCTCTGCTGTGGGAAAGCAGAGACTGGCTTTGGTTACAACTCATGAAGGATAGACTTCAGCCCCAACAGAACTAAAGTTCTGCCACTAGATTTCAGTAAGGGCTGAAATCAGACCAAGCCAAGATCTGGACTGATATCCTGCTTCTAGAAGCAACCAACCAAGTGTATCCAGGGAGCCACTCAATAAGGGGCTGAAGAAAGTAGTCCCACTTTTTCTGTCAAAATTATACTACTACTTAAACACGGATGTTCATTTCTTTGTTTTCATACTGAAGCATTTTGATTTGATACTGATTTATACAGCTGCCAAACTCACATACAGTACATGACTTTAGGCAGCTTACAATAAAAATAGATAAAACACAGGTACATACAAGTAGTCTTGCTCAGGTGGACCTAAAGCCTGTTGTGCCTCATCCAGACCCCTCAAAGTCTCCAAGCATGAGACAGAATCTCCATAGCCTCTTTCAGACCATTGGGGTGAGTATCATCAGCATAGGGACAATACCTCACCCTAAATCATCACTTATCAGCTTCATACACACACCGTTAATTTATCTAACACTGAATGAGGAGAGCTGTGCTGATAAAAACTTGGAAAGCCTGCTAAGTCCAGGATCCCTTTTTGCATAGAAGCCAATGTTTTTACACGTGATGCATTGTTATAAATTGTGATTTCATACTATTAGTAGTCAATACTGTTCTATTTCTCCACCATTACTTTTCAAAGCCATTCAGCCAGTGTCTATTTTCTTATTATACACCCATTATTCTACATCTTAGCAAAATGCTTTAGCCTGATTTTAATATAGAAGTTCAATATGGCCTGCTTTAGTTAGCGGAATCCTCTCATATTAATAAATAGTCTTCCATTCATGGAAGACCATCCACAAACAGACACTTAACCTGAAGAAAAACAGTACCTTTCAGCTTGTTTTCAATGTGAAATGACCTTTTGGCCATGTTAATCTGAAATAGCTCAGCAATAGTACTTAGACTTATATACTGCTTCATGGTGTTTTACAGTACTCTGAGCAGTGTACAGAGTCAGCCTATTGCAGGGGTCGCCAACCTTTTGGACCACAGGGACCATCAAACTCATAATTTTAAATCCCAGGGACCACTAACCGGTTCTGTGGGCGTGACCTAATTTGTGGGTGTGACTGGCTGGGAATGGCTTGTATGTAAATATTATAAATATTTATATAAATATTGATTTTTTTTATAAAAATAGAGCAACTTGTACCCAAAATCAGGCAAAGTAGGCAGGCAGATTGAGTTGCTCACAGAATCATTCAGTGATCTGTCTATCTGCCATCAGCTAGCTCAGTCTGTCACATAAAATTTGCTTGCTGTGAGTCTGCACTGAACAATAGAACCTTCAGTCCTAAGGGAGATTCGGCTGTGCTTAAAAGCAGAGCCGAAGATTTAAAGACTAGCTAGAGAAAGCAAGAAATCCAAGGATTTCTTGCTTCCTAGCTAATCTAAATCTTCCGGCATAGCAGAACAGTTGATGGTCGGGAAAAAAAAAAATAGCAATTTAGCAGGCAATTTTGCCAGGTAAGGAATGAGTGGGCGGTGAGGGTTCCCGCAGGCCGTGTGGGCAGCGCAGCCTTGTGTTTCTGCGCAGCCTGGATTCATTGCTTTGTGGGGGTGCTCTGGGGGTTAGATTTCTCTGCAGCCCACCAAAATTTTCTCACAGCCCACCGGTTGGCGACCGCTGGGCTACTGCTCCCCCAAATTTGGGTCCTCATTTTACCCACCTCGGAAGGATGGAAGGCTGAGTCAACCTTGAGTCCTGCCAGGATCAAACTCCAGGCTGTGGGCAGAATTAGCCTGCAACACTGCATTCTAACCACTGTGCCACTAAGGCTCCTTATATTATCATCAGAAATTACACAAGCCAGGTTTGCTTGCTATTCAAGAGAGCTGAAGCTTTAATTGTAAACTCTGCACTCCTCCTTTCTATGGCGGCGTGTGTCACTAAAGGGTTAATCTCTTCTTCCACCTCTGGTCACAGGGTGACCAAGACCCAGAGTCCCGTCACTTTGGAGTCAGTGTCAGCGTTCTGACTAGTGAGAAGAACTCGGTCCCGATTGTCATGGAGAAGCTGTTGGAGTATGTCGAGATGCACGGGCTCTACACCGAAGGCATCTACCGGAAGTCGGGATCAGCAAACCGCATGAGGGAGTTGAAACAGTCCCTGCAAGCAGGTGGGGCTCGAAGTGCTTCTTCCCTAGGACGCTTGGTAGCATTATTGCGTGTGGGCTGCCCTCCTTGGGAGATGGAGGAGGAGGAGGAGGAGGAGGAGGGAAAGGAGGGAAACCACAGGGAAGCTATTGCCACCATTAAAGAAGTTAAAACAGAAAAAAAAATGAAGCCGTAGAAAAATCAAAATTCTTACCAGACTTGAAAGGACCAGAACTTGTGACCCTCCAGAGGTTTTTAGACTGTAATCAGTGTTGGGATTCAAATCATTTAAGGTCAGGTTGTCAGTCATGGGAGGCGTGGCCCATCCCCGTCTTTCAGCTCCACCCCACATGCGGGACGAGCCTCCCATGATGGCTAACCTGATCCTAGGCGAACCGGTTGTTAAATTACTCCTCCCGCTATCAAAAGTGGAATCTGAGCGCTGTGCTGCAATGGAGAAATGGGCAACCCTTTCTGTTTATGTTGCCCTCCATAGGCCCATTTGCCATGGGCAAATACGCAGCAATGTAAATCCAATAAATAAATAAACAGAGCGGCTGGCACGAGGGAAGGAGGAGGAGCAAGCAGGGAGAAGAAAAAGGGAAAGCAGCCTCCTCCTTCCCTCGTGCTGGCCTCGCCATTGCCCCTTTCTCCATTGCAGTGCAGCACCCAGGATCCACTTTGATGGGGGTGGGGGTGGGGGTGGGGGTAATTTCACCCAAACCAGTGCAAACTGGCTGAATCCCACCACTGACTAATATGTATTTCGTATCAGTAGCTAGCGTATGGCAGTGTTACATTAGCCAGTAGACTGCAGTGTGAGTGCAAAATAGTTGTTTGACTGCTAGTCCATTCAGTTCATGCTTGCACACTGTTCACAATGCACCATAGCTTGAATTGAATTTGAAAACAGTAGCTAAAGGTCCACACATTGCCAATTCCTGCACTAGGGGGGAAAAATATTCAAAATCTTTGATGCAAAATCTCAAAGTTACTGCATTCCAGCTGTCATTCCTTTGCATCTTGCCTAGACTGAAGGAGCTTCAATCTTTGCCTCTTTGTTTCTTCTCTCCTTCTCAGACCCAAACTCGGTGCGGCTAGAGAACTATCCCATCCATACCATCACGGGGATTTTCAAACAATGGCTGAGAGAGTTACCGGATCCTCTTATGACTTTTGCTCAGTACAATGACTTCCTTCGGGCGGTGGGTAAGTGGTGAAGCATCTGAGAAAAAAGAGGTGATTCTTTTCTCAGGCGGTGTGAGACTGGCTCCACTTGGCTTCTGTAAGAAATAGGGTACTGGACTAGATAGATACCGGATATTACAGATAGTCCTCAACTGACAACGGTTCATTCAGTGACCAAAGTTACAATGTCACTGAAGAAAAGTGACGTGACCGTTTTTCACATTCATGACCATTGCCGCAACCCCATGCTCAAGTGATCAAAATTTGGATAATAATAGCACCTACCCTGTTTCTCCAACAATGCGGCCTCCCCCAATAGGAAGTCCCATCATGTTTTATAGGCATGAAATGAAATTAAGCCCCTCCCTCCATATTAAGGCCTATATTAAAACATGCGAAATGGGGGGGGGGAATGGTGGGGGGGGGGGCTTGCCGTTAGGAAGTACTTTTGTTGCACACCCGGATATGGTGCTGCCTGCGTTGACCCCGATACGAAGTGCCCCACCAATGCCGAGGTCAACATCCAAGCCATCGCCGCCCGCCCAAAGATGCAAGGGGGCGGGGAATTAAGTCATCCCCGAAAAGACGGCCTAACCATTTTTTCGGGGCTCAAAAAAAAAAAAAAAGACCCGGCCTTATTATATGAGAAACACGGTATACACCACTTCACAGTGTTTTATAGCCCCCTCTAAGCAGTTGACAGCAACAAAAATAATTAGGGGACTGGAGGCTAAAACATGTAAAGAACGGTTGCTGGAACTGGGTATGTCTAGTTTGATAAAAAGAAGGACTAGGGGTGACATGAGAGCAGTGCTCCAATATCTCAGGGGCTGCCACAGAGAAGAGGGGCTCAAGCTATTCTCCAAAGCACCTGAGGGCAGAACAAGAAGCAATGGGTGGAAACTAATCAAGGAGAGAAGCAACTTGGAACTAAGGAGAAATGTCCTGACAGAACAATTAATCAGTGGAACAAATTGCCTCCAGAAGTTGTAAATGCTCCAACACTGCAAGTTTTTAGAGAGAGATTGGATAACCATTTGCCTGAAATGGCATAGGGTTTCCTGCCTCAGCAGGGGGTTGGACTAGAAGACCTCCAAGGCCCCTTCCAGCTCTGCTGTTCTATTTATCAGAGTCATCATTTGATCAGTCCACATTTTGCCAACCTCAGAATGATGGAAGGCTGAATCAATCTTGAGCAGGTCAGAATCGAACTCCTGGAGTGAGCAGTGATTTAGCCTGCAGTACTGCATTCTAACCACTGCGTCACTAGGGCTCTCTTGCTTGGCAACTGTCTCATATTTATGACGGTTGCAATGTCCCGGGGTCATGCGATTGCCTTTTTGCAACTTTCTAAAAAGCAGAAGTCAGTGGGGAATCCAGATTCACTTAACAGTTGTCAACAACTACAGCGATTCACTTAACAACCACGACAAGAAAGGTCATAAAATGGGGCAAAACTCACTTAACAACCATCTTATTTAGCAAGTTTGAGCTCAACTGTGGCTGTAAGTCAGGGACCACCTATATCTAACTGGATTCTCCTTACATTCTCCTTCCTCCCAGAGCTCCCAGAGAAGCAAGAGCAGCTCTGTGCCGTTTACAGCGTCCTTGAGCAGCTCCCACAGGCCAATCATGACACCTTGGAACGGCTGATTTTCCACCTTGTCAAGTAAGGACAACCATCCTGAAGTTTAACTTTCCCCTCTGGTCAGGGAAGTGATTATAGCCATGATCCTGTGAGATGCTGTGTATTTAAATTGATAAGAGCCAAAGAACGTTTGAGCAAGTACTTGAATATTTTTAAAAATGTCTCTACAGTTTGTTTGAAATTTACGTTGTACCAAGTCAGGATTCCAAGGTCAATAAAGTATAAACAGAGCAAGGTCTTCTAGAAATCAAGAGGCCTTTTTAAAACAATCACTATGTTATTTATGGAAATAATAAAGGTGGGATAAAAAAACATCTAAAATAAAGAAAAATAAAGAAAACAAATAGGCTGAAAAACAGCTTCTATCCCAGGGCAGTAGCTCTTTTGAATTCTGCTGTGTAGTGCAGTGTTGGTGCAGTGTCAGGGGTTTTCGGTTCAATGTGTGGAGGGTGAAGGATGTGTGTTTGTGTTTATTTTCATGGTCATGATGTGCACTGAAGATGGTGTTTGATTTCATTGTACGAGGTGCAATGACAATAAAGTAAACTAAAAGTATATCAGTTAAACTCATCAACCCCTTTCGTACAAATAAAACATCTCCCTTATTTCTTATTATTATGCTGTGGGGAATAAGAAGGGCTAACGATTGACGAAACATCTGCTTTGCTTGCAGAACGTTCCATCTCGACAAATGGACAACAGTTTGTCTGAAATGGTTATAGGGTTTCCTGCTTGAGCAGGGGTTGGACTAGAAGACCTCCAAGGTCACTCTGTTATCTTCATCCCTGTTGCTTCCATTTATGAAGATGAGTGATGGGAAAATCTAGACAAGTAAAACTGTGGAGTTTGTTCTAGGAACATTTAAGTAGTATTTTCTGGAATGTTCATTTTTCTCCCCGATATACTAATCCACAGGTTCCCAAACTTGGCAACTTTAAGACTTGTGGACTTCAACTCCCAGAATTCTTCAGCCAATTCCTCTGTGCCAATCCGACAGTTTTAGAGATGGTTCATCTGCTTTGTGAAAATAAATTACTGGAACTGGTGTTGGTTCATGCAGTTATGACTGCAGTTTCAGGACTAAGGTCTATATATGAACCACTTCCGGTTCCAGAAAATTTGCTTCCCAAAACACACAAACCACTCAGGAAAAGATCTGTGGATTTTGGCAGGAAAACAAACTTTCAAGGAAGCACCAGAAAGTTCTAGGAATAGATACTTCATCTTACATACCAGCCTCCCAAAAAAGCTTTTCAGAAGGAAGATGCACCAATTATTTATTTTACTAGAACGCAACATAGATCATGTTATATATCTGAAACATCTGTGAAGTTTGGGGATTGGAGATACTGTTCTATAGTGGTACTAGCCCTTCCTTGGTGGAGGGCTTCAGAAAACGCATACGGAGGAAGAGTAAAATTTGTAGTTACTCCAGTGAGAGTCACTGCAAGATTCATTTTATTCAACATGTACATGAAACCACTGGGTAAGGCAGGGGTGGTTTTCTACCGGTTCTGTCCACCTCTGTAGAACCGGTAGCTCTGAAGAGCAGCAGACACAGAACCGGTTGTATGTCTGCTGATGTTTTTGCCCACCTGCCCACCCGGGCTCTTTCCTGACCTTTATTTCCTGCTTTTTTCAACTTCAGCTGCCGTGCGAGGCACAGCTGCAGTTAAAAAAGCAGGAAAAAAGTGCTGTTTCAAAGGCTGCTTCTCTGCATGCAGCGTGCTGATGATGATTTACAGGCGCAGCGTGCAGAAAAGCACATTGTAAATCACCAAACCTCTTAAATCATCGAACTGGTAGTTAACTCTGTCGGATCCCAACCCTGGGGTAAGGTCGTCCATCACTTTGGAATGAGGTGTCAATAGTATGTTGATAATGCTCAATGATACATTGTCACCCCAGGCCAAGCCAGAAATACTATAAAAATCCTGACTTGGGACCTACAGGCTTTGAGGACCTCTATGGGTCAAGACAAGCTCAAATCCTTGCAACATGGAGTTGCTGTTTGCCAGCTATAGATCTGGCTTGTCCCAATTCTGGTTTAGATCTTGATGGGTTTGCCTTCTTTAAGAAGCAAATCCTTTAAGAGGTCATTCTGGAATTATGACTCCTGCTGAAGCAGGTAGAAACCATGGTGGGGATGTTTTATTCCAACTGGCAAGCCAGTTTATTATTATTAAAATGTATTTGCTGCCCAACTTCCAATGAAGCTGCAAGACATCTAGATGAAAATGCTATGACTATACTGACTTATGTCCTGGTCACCTGACAATTAAAAAAATTACAGCATGCATTTCTATATGAAAGCACCTTGGAAGTCTTTATTTGATCCAAAGTGCAATGATTCATCCGCTAACTAGTAAGAGCAATTTGGCTGCTTAGCACCAGTGATACAGCTGCTGTGTTTGCTTAAGTATTTGCTTCTGGATCCAGTTCAATATGGTGGTTGTCCCCTTTAAAGCCTTACATGGTTTGCCTCCCAATCTACAAGATAGTCTCCTCCATCAAGATCTAGCCCACCCTTTGCATTTTTACGAGAAGGAATTGTTGAGGATCCCCACTCATATAAAATCAAGGTAGTAGGAGGCTAATAAAATCCTCCCATATTGTTTAATATCTACCCTTCCAAGATGTGGAATGCCTCAAAATCTGCTTGATGAGCGTTTTGGATTTAATAGCATGCAAGAAGTCTTTTAGATTGTTAGTTGTCTGCTTCTGTGTTATTATCATCTTCATTGTTAGTATCTTCTTACTTCGAGTCTTTCAAAATCGGGCAGGATATAAAACCATGTTCTCAAACAAACCGATCTCATACGCATCACCTTTGGAAAGGACCATAATGTATTTCTTGTAAAAAGCCTTACTGGATGGAATATACATGAACGTACCTGTTCTTCATTTAGAAGATTCAGATCTAATCTTCAGTATCACTTGATAGCTATATCAATTGGAAGCAGAACATTCTGGAACAATCTGACTCACTATACACATGATATATAGGTTTTACATTTTTTATTCAGTGCGTAGTAGATGGTATGGCGAAAGAAGTTAAGGGTGGATTTCATGGAAAAGGAACTATTATGGGGGGAGAAAATTGTGTTAAAATCAAGTTTACCACAATATTTAGCTAATGAAGACAAAAGTTAGTGGGTTGGCAAAAGATGCTGCCTATGTAAATAATATAAGCCAATATTCTTTGTTTCTCTTTCTAACCTAGCATGCTTTAAACACACACAAAAACTTCTTCTCATACCCAAACACAGGGTAGCCGTGGTGGAAGAAGTCAATCGGATGTCACCCAATGCCCTGGCCATTGTCTTTGCCCCCTGCCTCTTGCGCTGTCCTGACAACTTGGATCCTCTCACTAGCATGAAGGATGTCTCCAAAACAACCACGTGAGTTATCCTAGATTGCCTGTGAACGGTGAGGCTTCTGCCCTTTCCTGAATAATAGAAATTGTGGGAACGGATAAACTTCTTCAGTGTTCTATGTAGAATAGGCATTGCTAATTAAATCTCTACAGATATAATGAGGCCTAGCCTTGGCAGTCTCCAAAAGCAAATGTTCCAGAGATCTTTAGGGTGAATTTTATTTCTATCATCTGACTACAGAATTGTCTATTCTCTTTTTCCCTGCAAGTTATAGAAGCCTGAATCTAATTTTCCATCTCTCACTTTCAATCTCCTGGCCAAATATCACATTCTTTTTCACATTTCTTGAACCGATCTCCTTTTTCTGATTCAGATGGCTTCCTGTGAGAGATGGTAGAACTCGGATGGTATCTCTGTTGGAAGAGGGAGACAGAAAGGTGGATCTGATGGGAAATGGAGGTTGGCTGGTTATTAATATACACAACATCAGTGCATGTGACCATCTAGTGACTTTCCCTACTCTGACATGTTCATAATTGTATTGTTGGGAGAATGGTGTATCTTCTGTCAGCCCGTTTATCCATGCGTGCATTCACCTGATCCGTTCATCCTCTCTTCTTCCATCCATCAAGGGAATGATCTGTGGTTGTTTTCTCCATTTCTCCTTTTGTTCTCTCTCTCTTCCCTACCTATGCATAGGTGTGTGGAGATGATCATCAAGGAACAGCTGAGAAAGTACAGCATGAAGATGGATGAAATTTGCCAACTAGAAGCAGCGGAAAGCATTGCTCTACGGCGGCTTTCACTGCTTCGACAGAACAAAGTAAGCACTGCGATTGCACTTGGCATGAAATGTGATGGAGATTTCACAACAGAAGTGTGACTTTTCTATTAATCTCACACAGCAAGGCTGATATGTAATGTGTGACTTCATGCGACATTCCCAAGGTCTTATTTTTGTGTGAGTGGAAGTTGGAAAGTTTAAAAAAAATGACTTTGTTTAAAGCAGTTCTGATATAATCTCTAAATATAATTCAGTAAATGATTGTAAAGTTGGGATGTGTCCAGTCACAAGTAGTTCTGTTATAGTCTCCTGATTGTCCCCACTGCATCTGGGGTGCAGAGGCCATTTGCACAGAGTCCAGTTCAGCACATACATTTTGGAAGACATTCTGGGTGTGTGAGTCAAAATGGTGAAGTCTGGAAAACATTCCTGTGAGAGGGAGTTGAAAAACTAATAAGTTTTCATGTATTGTACCCAATAGAAGAAGCAGACCTGTCTCTATTATTCTAGAAGGTAACCATAGAAATAATTGATGTATTGAAACAGGTTTTTGCTGAACTTCCTGATTTGATAGCTCCTTGATAGTGGGACAGAATTATCTCAGGAAAGGGTGGGCCCTCCTTTACTGGAAGAACAAACAGACCCTGTTAGAAAGACCGAAGCCACTTTGGTCACCATGATAAATGTCTCCTTTGAGGAGAAAGATACAGGTGCAGCCCTGTTGCTTCTCTTTAGTAGCTTTTGGTAACGGGCTATGCTGTTAAGCATTGGGAGCCCGATGTTTATATTTTGTTTCCTTTAGAATTAGAATTAGAAGAACTTTATTGTCATTGTACAAGTACAACGAAACTGTGGACGCACCCCAGCAGCTGTTCGCAATACAATAAAACCAAAGCACTTAAAAATGAAGATAAGATAGAGTACACCCACGTCTCCATTTGCAATTTGAGAATACAATATCTACAAATATACACAAAATCTACATCGAACATTTATGTCTAGGGGTTGATTTTATATGGGTTGGGTATATTCTTAAAAAGAAATTCTGAGCAGTGGGGTTACACTAGTCATACTTCCTGGTCGAGGAATCCCAAAACCCCTGCTGGGTAGAAATGGTTGCTCTTGCTGTTTAATTCATCTGTTTGATTGTGGAAGGCTGGCTCAAGCAATCTCAAAACTCATCCCAGCTATATAATTCCAATAAGTTTAATATCGTATTAGTTTTCGAATCTTGCACATGTATTAGGGTTGTTTAAATCACACGTGCGGCATTTTTACATTTTTTAACTTTGACATGTACTGTATATTCTTTTAATCTTTGAAGTCTTTTTTTTATCCCTGGAGAGTTGGAGAAAATGTTTTGGTCTCCTATGAATGTGCCCTTCATCTCTCCTTTTCTCTAGTTGTGGCCAGTAAAACTTGCCTTTTCCTCTCCCCGCGAGGGAGCCCGGGTAGGTGAAAGCATTCAAGTGCATGGAACGCTGCTCCCTTCCTCACTCTGCCTCTCCCAGCATCAGCTAAAGATCAGGGAAGGCTGTTCACACGCTGAATGCTTCAAAACCCCTCACTTTAAAACTCTGCATGTTTTACACCTGTGCACATTTTCCCTGTTTTCCCAATTAATTATGGGGATTGGATAGTGGATTGCAAGAGATATTAACCAATGCTTCATAGAAAAAATAAAAAAGATACCCCTGCATCCAACTTCGGCCTTGGATGCTTAACCCTTTGAATTTGTTTACACTAACCCAGGTTTGTGTGTCTCTGTGTGGGAATCTGGTGGTTGGCTCTTGTCAAAGGAAGACATTTCTGTGCACCTGCTCGGGAGCAGCCTTAACCCTTTTTTTATAATATCCCAAGGCACAGTAAATTTAAATTTCGGGCCTCAGATTTATACCTTTGGGAGGGAGTTTGTGAAACAGTACCTGCTTTTCTGCATTGGGATTCAAAATTGATTCTTCCTGTTTTATATTCATCGTAGCCCTGCAAGTTGGATTCAGTACTAAGGACAGCTTGCTCTAAAACAACTATCAGCAGGTATCCCATGCTTAGGCTTCCTGTATTCAGAACTACCCCACTTTGTCATTATTTTCCTGGCTTGTTAAATTATACTTTCAAGCCTGGAAAGCTAAATTGTTCAGCCAGAGCAGAGGCTGCTTCATGATCTATTGCAGTTCACAAGAGAATTAACTTGTGGGATTTAATTGCTCCTGTCTACCCAGGCTTGATGATTTGCTGTATCCTTAGCCAAAGGGATGATATAGCTCTCTTTCCGTCCTGCAGAGCAAGAGTCCCCAGACCGTAGGAGTGAGCAGTGCCACACCTAAACTTGGACTTTTGCCTGAAGAGGAGGAAACAGACAACAGGGAGAAGGAGCTGTTGATGGAACGGATACAATCAATAAAGGAAGAGAAGTGAGTGATGGCTTGTAAAGGCCTACCCTCTGCAAGACAGAAGCTTCGGTCTCTGAATTCATCTGCCAGCTCTCAGAATCTATCAAGAAGAGCTGTGCTTAAGTCTTCCAGCAGAATTGGTTCTTGCAAAGTATTTAAAAAAAATGGAGCCTGCATTGCAAAGCATGAGAGGATTGTTAGGACTTTCAAATCTATTTTGAAATGAGCCCAGTGGCGCAGTGGTTAGAGTGCAGTACTGCAGGCTACTTCTGCTGACTGCCAGCTGCCTGCAGTTTGGCAGTTCAGTTCTCAGCAGCTCAAGGTTGACTCAGCCTTCCATCCTTCCGAGGTGGGTAAAATGAGGAGCCAGATTGTTGGGGGCAATAGGCTGACTCTGTGAACCGCTTAAGAGAGGGCTATAAAACACTATGTAGCTGTACATTAAGTTTTAAGGGCTATTGCTATTTTAGGCTTGTGTGAAAGCCTCTCCCAGATTGCCCTGAGTTGCTCTCCTCCTTCAATAGCAAATGAAGCCCACCAATAGACTTTATTCCACCCCAATAATAGTCGCCCTTCCCTGGTTCCAACAGCAACATTGGACTTGATGGATCAAAGGCTTTGAAAGGAGAGGCAGAAAACTCAACTCTTTTCATTACCCGTCACTGAAATTATTCCAGCCCTCCCATGGAATGTTGTACCTTGTCTTTTTTTTCCCCTCACTTCTTTAGGGAAGACATAACATACCGGCTCCCCGAATTGGACCAGCGTTGTTCTGATGAGGAGAATGTCGATTCCGAGACATCGGTTAGCACAGAAAGCTTGTTAGAGGAGCGCGTGGGGGGCTGTGACCCTGAAGGTCAGTATTAAGGTATTGTGCAGTTTCGCCCCCCCACCCCCCCCAATCATTCCCTTGCTGGCCCAGCACCGGTCTTTTCTGCAACTTTCAACTGCAACAGCAAAACAAAAAAAACCCTTTGCAACAGGTTTCTTACCCAAGCTCTCTACTTCTCTTGAAAGGAAACAAAGAGGCTGCTGCTCAGTGCATCAGCCTCTCCGCCAAAGAAGCGACTGGATCACCGACGACGCTGCCGTCTTCAGCCAAGGTAGATCCAGCTCCTCCTCACCTATCCACCACATGTGGGCCATCCTCTTTGCTTCTGCTCAAGGGAAGCCCTCTTAATCAAACTCCAGGGGATGCACATAGCCAAGCCCAAGCCGTCTTCCAGGATTGAGAAACTAACAGACCTACTCTCTCTCTGCTCCAAGAACTGCCTCTTTTCTAGGATGAACTGCTCACAGGACTGTACTAAGAACAGTCATCTTAAAAGCTAAACGGGAGAGGCAGGCTCGGTGAAGGTCAAAAAGGGGTAACTGGCACTCCTGCTTCGGGAGCTGTTAGATAACACTGCCCTATTCCAAACCTGGTCAAGTCCAGTATTTAAAAGTTCTGCTGCTCATCCAAACAGAAAGGTCATGATTTGCACCAGAGCTTTTGGTCAATATTGAATCTGGGAAACCATTGGTGCTTCTCTGATCTGATCAAATGTTGATCAATAGTTACAGCTCTGAACCGATTTCCACTTTCTGGGATGAGGTGCGAAGTTCCCTTCTCTGCCCAGCAGTCCACTCAAGCCTGGCTTCTTCCCACCTGCTTGCAACAGGCTCTTCATAGGACCAAACGGACAGTCAAGCCACTCAATAACTCTTGTTTCTGCTTTAAAGTCTCTCGCTCTCGCTCTTGGATGATGACAACTTCCAATTGGTTTACAAGAACTTTTTAATTTGTGTAGTAACCATTTAATGGAGACCAAAAATATCAACGTTTATATTAAAACTGCACTTTTTTTGAAAAAAAAAAAGGCATTGGGAGTTATTGACAGCGCAATACCAAGGGCCTTGCTCCTATTTTGGAACACTATAGTAGGTAGAAGGGGAGCAGATCTGTCACTCTAACTGCTGAGATTAGTTTGATCTGTTGGAGTTTTAAGTTAGACTGTGAAAAATCAAACATGCTCTTCTGATAGGCCCTTTGGTGAAAACTCAGGTGGAGCAGTATTGAAAATCGACCCATAAACAAAGACCCATTAGTTGGTGTGGCCTGTTACCATTCTTGGGACTTCATAATAAATAAGTAGGAGCAGAAGGACTTAGATAAGTAGGAGCAGAAAGATAAAGAAACTGAGGCATTTTCCTGCTTTCCTTCTAAACACTACAGACATAAGACATACCTTTCTGTACAATTACAATTTATTTATTTTTTCAAAAGCAGCAGTAGCCCACTTAACAAACCTGAGCATAACTAGTTATGACTGTACAAAGAAAGAGGTTTTTTTTTACCTTAAAACCAGGAGAAAGGTAGATTTTAAATAGAAAAAAAGTAAGGAAATGCAAGGAAAGGTGATTAAATTAATTACCCTTTCAAATGGTAATCAGTTTCCACTCCCTTTCCTTTTAAATGGTACTCAGTTGTCAACACATTTGTTTGAACTGAAAGGAGGCATTGGGAGGAAGTAGGTGGGAGGGGAACTGAGCACACATAAAAGTCTTTCAAACCTGGTTTATAAAGAATGGAAAAGCGAACGGTGTAGTCAGAATCCCTGACATTCTTCAACTGACAGACATGATTTAAGCCAAGAATGGGACACTGGCTTATATCAGTAGCTGGTTATTTTGAGAAATAAGCCAAGGACTAGATTCAGATGCAGTGCTCAACAAAACAGACTGAAGGGGGGTAAAGATGTTTCGCTTTTTCTGCCAAAGTGAATAACTAGAAACAAACAGGAGTGTGCTGAATGCATCTATGCTCTTGCTCATTCTGGACAAGCTAGAATGCAGATGAATTCTGGCCTAAATTCGACACATGGTTGTCCCCAGACGCCTCCTTTGTGGGGGGGAATGCACACATTAAAAAAAAAAAACTCCACACAGATGCTGTTTTTCGGGGGGGAAATAATAAAGTCAGCTTAATCAGCCCAATGGAAACTTCACAGCGGGGAAAAGAGAGAGTTCTCCACTTCTGGTGTCAACTTCGGGTGGAATGCAGGAAGAGGAACACCAAAATCTGGCGGAGAGGGGAAAAAAAAGAGTGGGGGAAAAAGTCAGTTTAAAGTACCAGTAATATAGTTGAACTACAAAGAATCAAAATGGAGAGACTTACAAAGAAGGGTGTATTTCTTTCAGGATTAAGGTAAAACCGTTGGGTTTAAAATGTCAGGTAACAGCCTGCTCTCCCTACCCCTCACGGATTTAAAATAAGTTTAGTCATTTTGAAGGTCTCAGGAAAGCCTTTTACAAAATGGAAACCATTAAAATAGTTGAAGGAATTATTACATATTTGTAACCCGATACATTTGCATGTCAAAGCTGAGAGAGGGGACCCCAGTATTATTTTCAGGATTTTAACACTCCTTCCTGTATCTGGAGATCAAATGGAGGAACTGTTGCATTAATGAGGGAAAGACAGCAGAAGACTGAGAAGTTCTTCCATAACAAGAAGGAAACAAGAGGTCTCTCAGGTGAGTTTTTCTTTCCTCTTTCCAAAATTTCATTACCAAGATTCCCCGTGACTGTTAACACTCACCCATTTCCCCGTCCAAGCGACTGGTTGGAGAGGGATTTTTACGATGGTCTTCAGTGTGCTGGGTCATCTCCTCCCGAGAGGCTGTGGAATATGGGCACTGTAAGCAATTATAACGACCTCGGGTGTGTTCCCATACAATGCGGCTGTTGGAGGAGTGTCCTGCAATGGAAAGAAGCAGCTGAAAGTCCAGTCAACTGGTCAGTTTCCTGATTCCCAAGCCATTTTGCAGATCGAACTACTCTTGTGAAAAGATAACTAAAGGAACTCTGGTGGCTTAGATGAATTGTGCATGTGCTCTCTTTTGAGATATTGTAAAGAACAACTGGATAAGATGAAAACAAAAAACAAGAAGAAAATTCCGAAAATTACAGCTCCTGATAGCTGGGAAGATTCTAGAGCAGATCATAAACGATCTGGAAGCACTTTTGAAACAACGTAGAGACTGTTGTTAGACCAACATGGATGTGTAAAAAATAATTTTCTTTAGTAAATTATGGGAATATTGGGCATGTAATAAGAGTTTGATTTCAGTGCTATGTCTGACAGAGTATTCAATTATATTCTAAACTGGCTAACTGAGGGCCGGATTAGCATGACAATTAAATGAATACATAGCTGGCTTTTAAAAGGGTCATTGGTTCTAACCTGATAGATCTTTCTCTTTGGGTGGAGATAGCATTCAGGACTGGGTGATCAGTCTCCGCTGCTGATTGGACTGAGTCTGTTAAAACTCTTAGGACAGACACTCCTTCTGTTGCTAGGGTCCTCCCAGAAATTGGCAAAGGAATAGTGACAGACTGACGTGTTCTATAAGTATAGCATATACCATTACACTCGGAACGCACCACCAAAGGGCGGGACTGAATGCTATCTCTACCCAAAGGGAAAGGTCGTATCAGGTTAGAACCAACGACCCTTCACCATTGGGGTGGAGATAGCATTCAGGATTGGGACATACCAAAGCAGGCTGTCCTACAGGTGGGCCTAGTGCGGTCCGAGTCCCTTATACAGAATGGACCTTTTGCAGAACCCTCCGTCCAAAAGCTGCCTCAGCAGAAGCAAATGAGTCCAGCTTATGGTGTCTGATGGATGGAGAAGGGGAGGCCCAGGTAGCCGTCCTTCAAACCTCCTCCAGAGAGGCCTGGGTGGCCCACGCCCATCGATATTGCCACGCTTCTTGTTGAGTGCGCTGTTATCCTTGGAGGAACTGCAAGTCCCTGTGTTTGGTAGGCTTGTCCATCTCCCCACAGTCGTTGGAGTCACCATGCAGCCCATGATGGAAGGTTGAAAGGAAATAAAAAGGGATTCAGACCTCCTGAAGGATGATGTTCTCTTAATGTAAATCCTCAAAGTCCTCCAAATGTCCAGAGTATGCCATCTTCTTTTTAATGTGTGCACAGGATGCGGACAAAAGTCAGGTAAAATTAGCTCCTGTGCTCTGTGGAACCACGAGTTCACCTTTGGCATGAATGAAGGGTCTACTCTTAACACCACTCAATTGGTGTGAAACACACAAAGGTCTTTCCTGAGAGACAAGGCTGCCAGGTCCGAAATCCTTCTGGCAGAGGTGATTGCTACCAGAAAGGCTACATTACAAGACAAAAACTGCAAGGGAATTGACCTCAGTGGCTCAAATGGGGCCTCAGTCAGTGACTGCAGTACTTTAGAGAGGTCCCATGTCGGATATCGATGAACCACTGGAGGCCTCAGGTATGTAGCACCTTTCAGAAACCTGCAGACCGTGGGATGTCTAGACAAAGGTTTCACTCCTCCCATGGATAGAACAGAGGACAAGGCTGCAATCTGCCTCCGCAGAGTGTTAGATGAAAGTCCCTTGTCTAGGTCCTCTTGGAGGAAGTCCAGTACCTGGGCAATCGAGGCCCCAGAAGGGACAATGTCATACTTTCAACACCATTCGCTGAAAGCCTTCCAGGTTGAATCATAGATGCGGTTGGTGGAGTGTCTCCTGGAGGCCTGGATAGTTCTTATTACTCTGGAGGAATAATTGTCCCGGATCAGAGATCCCCACTCAATCTCCAGACTGGGGCTCTGGATGCAAGATTGGCCCCTGGCTGAGCAACACTCTGTCCTCCGGTATCTTCCAAGGTCTGGAAATGGAAAGGTTTACTAAGTCTGCAAACCATGGCCTCCTGGGCCAATGAGGGGCTACAAGGATAAGTTCTGCTCTTTCCGCCAACAGTTTCTGGATGATGCTCAGGATCAGGGGCAGGGAAGGGAATGCATACAGGAGCTCCCTTGGCCAATGGCTGCGTAAGGCGTTCGTTCCCTCCGCCCCCAGAACTGCAAACCTGGAATAGAATTTCGGGAGTTGCGTGTTGTCCTGGGAAGCGAAGAGATCCACTTCTGCGTATCCGAAGCGCTCCGACAGCTCCTGAAACAAATCGGGGTGCAAACGCCACTCTGCATGGTCAATGGTGGCTCTGCTAAGCCGGTCAGCCTCAACATTGGCCACACCTGCAATGTGCTCAGCTCTGAGTGATACCTGGTGTCTCTCTGCCCATAAACAGAGCTGTTCTGCCTCTAGCATCAAAGGCCCTGAATGAGTCCCCCTTGGTGGTTAATGTGTGCCTTGGTTGACACATTGTCAGTCAAGATCAGGATGTCCTTATCTGACACAACGTCCTCTAACTGTTTCAGGGCCAAATGGACTGCTCGAAGCTCTAGCCAATTAATATTATGGCCCAAATCTGCCTGGGACCATTGTCCCTGGAGCACCCTGGACTGAATATGGGCACCCCAGCCATGAAG